GCTATTGGCTAGGTTTGTTTTATTAAACTTTGCCTTCAGGCATTGCAACCTAAAGAAAAGATAAAAATATTTTACCCAAACGATAAGAATATTTTACCCAAACTGAAGCTACTAACTAAATTGCGATATTCTCACTCAGCAAGATAGAACAGCAAAGTAATTTATATCTTACTGGACTACTTTCTTATCCCTGAAGAAAGGCAATCATTGAAAGAAGTAGCTAAACTTATTAGCTGTTCTTGGTCACATGTGTGGTTTAAAATGAGAGAGAAACCCAATCGGGTGAACCTGAAAAAGGTTCACCCGATTAGGTTTTAGTCTGCATTACAGCCCAAGAAGCTCTAACCATACATATTCTTGGTGTTGAAGTCACATTAAAAAACGTCGAACGCCCAAGCGGGTGTTCAGATGGATGTTCTATGGATGTTATTGAACGTCCTGTGCCCACTAAAAGTTTATTAGAAATTCACTTTATAATATCATTTCAATAAACTCACCTATCAAGATCATGAGAAAGAAACAAACTTTTCTGAATATGTAGACCCTTCCTTAGTACATTTCTCAGTGTAGGAACTTCAGTTTCCAACCAATCTTTTCCTACTCCAAGATACTTAGTTGTAGAAGAATGTCTAGTCAATTTTAAACTCTCCATAACACAATATTCTATTTTTTTTTTTTTTTTTTACTGTAAAACGAAAACAATTATATTAAAAAATTACAACAAATATTTCAAATTTTTAATATTGAAATATACTCAATTAAATTCACTATTAACGCAAAGAAAATAACAAGTACAAAGTAATCGAGTTCTATAATTTATAGATTACAACTACAAATGGACTTTTGTATTTAAAAATAATTTTGTATTGTATTGATTTTATAAAAATTGGATAATTAAAATTTTAATATACGTTAGTAAAGTTTTGTTAATTTTTTGTCGTAAAATGCATTTTTTTAACGCTTTTTTACATTTTTCAAGTTAATTTTTTCCCAAAAAAATACCCGAGCATACCAGGCTAAGTTTGATGATGCTCTTGAGAAAATTTCTTAACTAAAATGTTTATTAAAATGTCTAACCAACAATGATCCAACTTTTTAAACTTTGTTTTATTTTATTTATTGTTTGTACGGTAAAAAAAACGAAAAAATTAAAATAGGTTTTTTTTCTGCTATAAATGAATTTTTTTTTAACCTAATATAATTTTTAAAAGTTCAACTTTTTTTGTGTGTTTTGGACACAATTATTCATGTTTTAAAAATAGTTGTGTTTAGGACTCAATCATTCATATTTTAAAAAAGGTTTCACATACTATTTAAAAAAAAAGTTATTATAGCATCACCCTAGTGTATATTACGGGCAGTTTCACTTAAGTTTGACAGGTGGTTTTTGAGGCTTTTAAGTCAAATTTTAATGTCAAATCTTTTTACTAGTGGTTTCACATTCTTTACGGATATTTACAATAATACAATACTGCGTTTCGGCAACAGTGAAACCATTAATATTTTAACTGGTATTTATGGTAAATAGTAATAGTTAATTTCATGGAATAAAAACCATTCTTGGCACGTGTTATTCTTTTAGTTTTTAAACACGCAACAGAAACCAAGCATTTTTTTTGAATTGTGCCTGCTGGGCATAAACACTCTTTTTTTTTTCTTGAACACGCATTTTGTTCTCTCAAAAATACACGTTTTATTCTCACGAACACTCCTTTTCTTCTCAAGATATTTTTCTTGAGAATACTCATTTTGTTCTCTCAAGAATACACGTTTTATTCTCACGAACACTCCTTTTCTTCTCAATTTTTCTTGAGAATACTCATTTTGTTCTCAAGAATACACCCCAAGAAAAAATAGTTCTTTAGAACTTCTATAAACTTTTGAAACATTTGGCCTATAGAAATTCTATAAAATATATATATATAATAGAATTTTTATAGAATCTCTGTTAATTTCTATATAAATTTCTATAGAACTTTTTTTTCTACTTTTTTTTTTCTATAGAAAAAAAATAGAAAATAGAAAAAAAAGTTTTATAGCAGTTCCTATAGAAATTAATAGCTAATCTATAGAATTTGTATAGAAGTTTCATATAATTTCTATATTCCAAATATTTCAAAAGTTTATAGAAGTTCTATAAAACTTTTTTTCCTGGGACATTTTAACGAATACACATTTTGTTCTCAAAAACACGCATTTTGTTCCCGTGAACGTTAAATTTTTCTCAAGAATATTGATTATATTAGACAAAATCTGTTGAATATAATAAACCTGAAACTGTGAAATAAATTAGACTGTTGAATAAATAAAATGGAGACAGTATTGCATTAAAAGATAAATCTTAGACTCAAAATGATGAGTATACTAGACGGAGACTCTGTATTAAGTTGAAAATATTTTGGAAACTGAGCCAAGTTTGTAAGAAAAACTAAAACGTTTTGTTTTGTTTTAAAATTCAAGTTGTTGAAATATAATACTGGAGGTAAAAAATATATAAAAAGAGACCTTTGAAATCTTCTTAATTTATGAATATATTAAACATAGATGAATGGATAAAGAAAAGAATCCAAAAGTACAAAAAAAATAATGATCAAGAGGTGTCTATTTGTAAAAGTAAAAGAAGAATAAACAGTAACAGTTATAGCTTATATGTAACATAGCAACGCAATAACGTTACAAACGATTTCAAAGAATGACAAAAAGAAGTAAACAAATTTTTTCAAATATTAAAACGTTGTTAAAATGTTGGTGAGTATTAAAAAAGATTTTATAATATTCACCAATATTTTATATGCATGAAGAAATGTGATAAAATTAAAGGTTAAAAAAACGCTCCCATTAGGCTAAAATAAAAACAAATCGTCTATTAGAAAAACAAATGTTTTTATTCTATCACTAAACGCCTTGGCAGCATCACTTATCAGCGACAAGAAAGTAATATAGATAATAGAGAATTTAATGATTAGTAGTTTCCTATTTTTTAAATCGACAATAACATTTTTATGGTTAAAATGAGATTTAAACTCGACTTTAGTCCTACAATTTTAAGACTGTTGTAACTAGGGTTTTCTTTAGTAGTTTATTTCCAGTAGTAGTTTGTTGGGATCCCTTTGATTTAGGGGCTATATAATTAAATTGTTGGTCACTATCAAATTATTTTGGATTACTTTAGAGCTAAAGAAGTGATAGTTACATTAAGACTTAAAAAGCTGTTAAAGAAACCATTTTTTTTAAACGTAAAACTCTTGATTCAAAAAAAAAAAAGAAAAAAAAAAAAGAAGAAAAAAGTAAACAAATTATTCTCTAAAAAGAATCTTTTCATACGGCTCACCAAATACATGCTCCTGATCTATACCACACACTCATAAACAATTTCTTATCAATTTCTAACATTTTGAAAAGTTTTTATTTGCATTTTAACAAATTCTTGTTTTAATATTTTATTAAATTTAAATAATACAGAGTAATACAAAAATAATAAAGCTTTAATACTAAATAGCAATATTAGTAACTAAATGTATCAAAAATGTTCATGTAACGATGTATTCTCAATGTTTTAAAAAAACGAAGAAGGATGAAGATGATAGTCTAAAATTATATAGCTTAAATCCTGGTCATTTGAAGAAAACTAATTAAAAAAACAGTCATATAGTTATTGATCTATTGTGTTTGCGTTGTTGTGTTATCTCTTTTAATTGTATCAAACACAAAAATTTTAAAAACAATAAAATTTTAGAAAAATCATGAAATAATAAGGGCCAGTAAAATGCAAAATGATGAGATGTATCTTTACTCAAAGTTTTTTAAATCAAATGTTATTAATGGCGTTTCGATTGTTAAAAAATTCGTGTTTTTTTTCACTCAAGAAACTATAAAGATTTTAAGAGAGATTTTCGGGTCATAGAAATCAGTCATAGAGACACACGTGGACGTAAATCTTTCTTTTTTTTCTTTTTTCTTGGAAATTTTATGTGATTGTAAACATGACATAGATATAAAATTTAAACGATCAAGTATATTTTACTCAAATTTTAAATTCATTGGTTAATTTTAATCTAGTTTCAATATAAAGATTTACATTGAGGGAGGGGTCAAAATTATTTGACCCCTCCCTCAATGGAAATAACGTATTACATGCAGACACATTTTGCTTTGATAAAAACAAGTTTATTAAACGCAACATTGTTTTGTAAATTAAAATTAATTAAATATTTCTTTAATTTTAAATTGGTTAATCAATAAAGTTTTGTTTTTACATTGATTTGAAGTGATGTCAAATCAAAGAATGTGCATAACGTATATGAAAGGTTGTTCCCACATATCTGAAATCTCTGTGTGATAATCATGTATCTGAAATCTCTGTGTGATGTACATTATGTACTAAAGTCAACAAGATTATAAATTAATTTTTAAAATTAAAAAGATTTTTCTATTCGAGCTTAATCTGCATCAAAAAGCGACGTTTGTTTGCCGTTGTAATATCTAAAATTGACTTATTTAATTTAAAAACATTTATATAACTAAAATTTAATTAAAGTTTATAAACTAATAATTAAATTTTGTAGTATTTAAGTGAGAAAAATAGCAAAGGTCAACAATATTGTTCCTGAATAAATATCTTTTTTAATTAAAACAAACGTTTCGGAAAATTTAGAAGAAAAACGATAGAAAATTCAGTGCTTTTCATTTGTAATTTAAGTGATGTAATACACAAATAGATATTTAACACCCGTATTTAATTTGATTGTAATGTATTAGCAATACCGGTTTAAAATTTATGAGAATAAAATAGATTGAAAAATGAAATATATTAGTTCAAATAAAGCTGTTTGACAAATCAACGAAAAAAACAAACATAAGAAGCTGATGGCGAATTGTTCTTCATCTTTTCGTCTGTCTTGAATAAATGAAAAGCCGATGTTTGTTTCCGTAGACATCAAGCTCGTTACTATAGCAATATAGTTTGTAACACACATCATTAAATTATTTTGCTAAATTATAAAGTATTAAGTTAAAAGTGTCAATTAAATGTTAGAAACATAAAACAAAACCAAAACTTAATATTTTCAAATTATTTATAGAAACAAATATTATAAAAGTCCATCAAACTTGAATTGAACTGGAAAAGTATTTGCGATGTGGTGTCTTTCGGTGTTCATTTCTCTCATTCTGTTTGAAATTATTAGTTCTACTGGGTAAGTGTTTTGGCACAAAAAAGTATTACAATTATAAAACTTTTTTTTTTTAGATAAAAAGAATTTTAAGATTGCACAATAATTTAACATGAGGACAACCAAGATCATAAAAAAATTTAATCAGCCGTTTATTTTTAAAAATTCTTTAAAAAGAGTTCTAAAAAGTCCTGAAAAAGTTGGTGTGAAAGTAGCTCTAAAATTAAAGCCATGATATTCAGCTGGATATAGATACATGATATTAAGCTGGATATAAGAGATTTTCCAGCATATTCGACCAAATTACTCTCAAATGAAATTGAAAATACTTCCCCACCTATGAAATTACTTTCACCTATGATAATCTTGGATATTGCTTTTATCTTTATAAAACTATACAGCTTTGCAGAAATTTTTTTAACAGCCATTTTTTTTTTTTTTTTAATTGAGTTTTTTAAAAGTATTATTAGAGTTTAGTAAAAGTAAATTTAAAAGTAAAACTATTACAAACGCTAAATATAAAATTAATTTTTACAAATATCCCTATAATTATATGTTGCTGTCTATCAAAAATGTATTTTGGAAAATTGTTGTAAGCGGGAGCGCCTAAACTATGGCTAGATACGGCCCTGAAGAGGTAAAAAAAGGGGTTTTGCCAAACTAATAAAAATTTCCTAAGGGGGTTAGACACACCCTTGTGACAGCCTCGCACAATGGTTGCTGTAATTCTTCCTCTTTTTTTTCTTATTCACGCGTTATCTGTTTTTACTTTTTTTAAACTCGAAATTTTAATAAATTAAACAAGTAAAGAAATGTTAAAAGTCATTTGCATATTTTTTGATATATTGCACTGTTATATAGCGTAAAATATGTTTTATAGTTGAAAGGAACTACGTTCTTTTTGTATTTTTATTATTGATATTTTTATTTATAAGAGGCTATGGCTGAGAATTTGATTTCTTCTTGCCTTGGCTATTTATTTATATATTTTTATTAGTTTAATTTAAACTTTTCTTATTGGCGAAATATTATGTCATATTACATTTAATATCTATTCTAGCAAGTAAAAATTCTTCGGTTTGTTATCTCTTGATTCTATTTGTAAAATTTAAACATAAAATTTTTAACAATACATAACTTATTTTTATAAATACTTATTAACTGTTTGAAAAACTTGTGGATTGGAAATGAAAATTAAAATTTTAATGCTTATACCGTAATATCATAACGTTCTCAAGATTATCATGAGATTCTAAATCAGCTCGTAATAAGATTTCTAGATGTGTCACGGTTTTAGGTACGAACCCTTAGCAATAAGCTTAGCAATAAGCTTTAGCAAACTATGTTTGTTTTGAACATTACTTTGCTCATTAAATATTTATTTTGATAATATTTGTAAATTAATAGTTTTAAAACATTATTTTTTATTACTAAAAACTTATATAACTTTAATAGGTTGCATTTACATCAAAGTTATTACTAAGCATTATCACCAAGCATTATCACCAGGCACTATCGACGATGTCAGATATTCAATTAATCAAAAAATATAATTTTTTATTTAATATAATTAACAAAAAATAATAATTTGGCTTAACTAAAATAAAAATAATATTCTATGCTTAACTAAAATTATTAGCTGTTAGAAAGCTCATTATAAAGTACCGGCAGAGGAAGTCGAACTTGCAACCTGTGTGTATACCTGCAAAAATGTAAAATAGATTGACTAAAACGGAGAAATCTAAATACCTTTACTATTGGTATTGTAAAATTTCCACCCTCCTAAAAATGAGGGGTTGTAAATTTTACATGGCCAAAACTTTTAAACACAACATTAATAACGTAAAAAGTATTTGAGCAAGTAGAAAACAAGAGCAAGTAGAAGAATTGAGCAAGTAGAAGACGATAGTTTAATCTTTTTACCCTGTTAATGTCGTTCATATTTTACATCCAATAAAATAACTGTTTACTCCTTGATTAAAAGTCATCACAAAAAGTAATGACTTTTATATCAATACTTATTAAACAGTCTTAATGTTAACTCTCCTAATTACAGGCATATCTCCGTCTTAACTTGTTTTTCAAAACTAATAGAGCGGATAATATACAACAGACTATATAGTCTCCTTACTGAAAACAATTTGCTTTACAATAAACAGTTTGGTTTTAAAAAAAATTATTCAATCAACCATGCAATAGTTAAGTTAGTATATTATATAACGAATGGATTCAATGATGAGTTTTACATTAGGGATTTTCATTGATTTGTCTAAAAAATAAATCACTCAATTCTTATCAAAAAACTCGAATACTACAAAATAAAAAATGTAAATTTACTTTATGAAATACTTCTCAAACAGAAAACAATATATTCATCGTGAATCATTAAAAACACCAACAACAAAAATCTATAAACAATCTATAACCTGTGGGGTTCCCTAAGGCTCAGTTGCGGAATCCCTTCTATTTCTAATATACATCATGATTTACATTTTTCATCTAATCTATTTAAAAAAAAATCCAATTTTTTTTATTCCGGTAAACATGTCAAAATACTTTTTCAAAGATAGTAAATAAAGAATTAAAAAGAGTAAATAAATGTTTTTCATGCAACAAATTATCTTTTGATGTCATTAAAAAAAAATTATCATTATTTCATAAATCAAATAAAGTAAAAATAACCCTCTTATGTTATCAAGAAAACTTAAAAGACAATCATCAGAAGTTTTTTGGTGTCAATTTTGATGAAACATTAGCATGGAACCCTCATATAAATTTAATTGAAAAAAAAAATTCTAAAAATGTTGCTATTTTATACAGAGTAAAGCCATTTCAAAGTATGGATTCTCAAAAAAGTTTGTATTTTTTGTTTATACACAGCCACTAAACTTATGGAAAAATAGTTTAGGCCAGCACAAATCACACTATATAAACAAATACAACAAACAAAAACATACCTGCAGAATTGTATTTGTAACAGAAATGTTGTCAAGGCTACAAGCAGTAAACAAACTTCAGAGAAAAACAACTTTAGCAACGGATATTAGAGTAATTTGGATATCTACCAATGGATTAACCTGTTTATTTATGATGACAAGAAGAGTATGGTCATTAGATTCAAAGTTCTTCTTTATCATTGGAAGAGTTGATAAGATCAAATTTATGTATTAAAGAAAAACTTCTAAACTTGGCTATATTAATGACGCTACTAAGGATTTTTCAAAAGTTTCCAGAATCTAACTTCTGAAATAAAATGCAAGATTTGGTGAACTGAGGATATTGGAGCTTTTTTTAAGGAAAGCTTGTTGGCTTTAAACTATCCGCTTAAGATTTTGAGCAAGTACTAATGTTTGAGTGGGTATAGAAAGATTGATTGTCATCTACAAAAATAATTAAGTTCAGTATATTAAGTGCTGAAAATATGTATTGGATATAGATAAGAAAATCCGATGTTCTAGAATAGAACCCTTTGCAACAAACATGTGTAATAATTTCAAAGCAATTATAGGTTTTGTTGTAATGACTTGTTTCCAATTGTTTAGATAACAACTAAACATTTGAAATTTTTATATTTTATACCATAGTTACTAAAGTTAAAGAAGAATTCTGTTGTTTGCTTTATCAAAAGAATTCGAGAGATCGATAAATACTCCAAGAGTATTTTTTTTCAAGATTTCAATAACTAATTTTATTTATAGTTAGGTTTACAAGAGCACTTAATTTATAACATTCTTTTTACCTATCTCCGTAGGGAAAAAGAATGTTATAATAACGTGCTCTTGCATTTTCGAGATGAATATATGAATTATGGGAATATGGATATAGGTAAATAATTGGATAAAATAGTGTCTCCACTCTTAAATATTGAAACTATATATAAATTTCTAACTTTTCTTTACTTCTAAAACTTAAAGACATTATCAGAAAATTAAATATTTTATGTCATATTTGGGGCAGTATCAGCTTATCATGATCTGTTTACTCACTGAAAGTGAAACAAGTGCGTTTAGTGAGTAAACAAGTGCGTTTAGTGGTAAGAAAGAAAATGGGAATTCAAAATTTGTGTTAAAAGTGGTTTTATTATAAAACTTGTATTAGTTTATATGAACTAAACGACAAAAAGGTTGAGTGTGGTGTCATCACACTCAATGAACTTGAACTTTTTTAAATTTTTCTATTGTGAGTATATATATATATATATATATGTTCGCACTTAAGACAGTTTGTATTTATAATTTTTGCATTAAAATTACATTTAAAAAAATTAAAATGTTTCTAAGAATCAATTTTTACCACGTTAGTTGACAGTTTTTTAGATTTGAACTTAAGGATTGTTTAATTTTAAAACAACAACAAAAATAAGCATCAGTTTCACTACTGATAATCTAAAATATTAGTAATGAAAAAAGAAAAATTAGATTTTTATCACAAGAAAATAAAATTAGATCTTGAAAACATTTCTCTAACTTTTATTTTTTGGAATTCGCTAAAATCTCAAGTAATAAGTTATCAAAATACAAGACATTCTGTCTTGGTTGTATTTTTCTAATTTATACCATTTATTTAGTTTCAAAATTTTTTTTAGTTATGACTATGCAGTTTGTTCCGTATGGAAAGATCATTATTCTACATTTGACGGATATTTTTTCAAATTTAAAGGAACTTGCAGTTATGCCTTAGCCATAGATTGTCGACCAGGTTTTGATGATTATGGAATTCACGTTGAGCATGAAGAAAACTGTAAAGTGCAACCGTGTAAAAAATCTATAGGCATATTTCTTGACGATGAATATTATCACATCTCATCTCAAAGTAAAGTTTCGAAAAACAATAAAGCCCTAGTTCTGCCATTTTCAAACAAAGTGGTAACCATTACCCAACGTGCAGATTACACTTTTGCTGAAATTTACGGCGGAAAAATAGTATTAAAATATAATAACAAAGAAGATTTTTACATCAATGTTGCTGCAGAATATAGAAATGGTACATGTGGTCTTTGTGGTAATTATAACGGTGAATCTGACGACGATTTAGACTTGAAATCTCCAGAAGTGTTTGGTGATAGTTGGGGTAAGCCAAAAGCAGGAGAAACATGCGAACAAACCGTTCCTGATAAAAATGAATGCGATACATCAGAAAGTAACTTTGATAAAAGTTGCGAAAATCAGATAAACAATGCATTCAGTGAGTGCATCTCCAGTCTAAATAAAAATCTTTTTCTAGATGTGTGTTCTGAATTAGTTTGCAATAAAAATTTTTCTGATGACAATCTTTGTGAGATACACCAACACCTCTCTCAGATATGCAAACAGAATGGAATTCATGTTGATTGGAGAAGTCAAGATTTTTGTCGTAAGTTGGCTGATTTATTTTGTTATCATGATTTGTTAATATTATTATTTGTTTAATATCTGTGATTGTTTATGTTGATTATATACTAATGTGGGTGTACATGTGTTACAGGCACCCCGCTTTAGTAAGTCTGTAAAAAAGTTTTTTACAAAACAAATATTGTTAAAAACCATACCCTAACCAAACCCTAACCCTGACCCTTAGGGTTAGGCTCAGAGTTTGGCTTAGGGTTCGTTTAGGGTATGGTTTTCAATAAAATAAACTTTATTGTTGGATTTAGGTTAAGAGTATAGTTTTCAATAAATGGTATGCTTAAAAAGTGACTTGTTTTATGTCTATATATATGATTATATATATAGGGATGCAAAGGTGTAGTCCAAGAGTCCCTGTTTTAACCCAGGGTCTGTTGTCCTGCCTGTATATAAGGCTTTTAAAAGAAGGATTACACTTCTTTATATAACCAAGCAAATTGCATTTTGTTATGACGATTTGACCGCGGCTAATTCAAAAAAACATTTTAAAAACGCACTAAATGAAAAATATTCTGAAAAAGTGAAATTAATTACATCAAAACTTTTTAACAAATGTTTTTATATTAGCGAAACACTTTTAAATAAATTAATAATTTACTGATAATGGTTTGTTTTTTTTAAATATAATTGACAGTTGTATATATTTTTATAATTTATATTATATAAATTGTTTGAGTGTGCATTTCTATAATAAATGTTTATAAAAAAAAAAAAATTGTTTTGTTTTTTAAATATTTTAGAAAGCCGTTACAATTAAATAAGTTTGATCTTAAATGCTTTTATATTATCAAAACGCTTTTCAATGAAGTAACAAAGCATTTCTAATTAATTTTTAAAATAAGTATTAATAAACTGTTGTTTTTTTAATTTATATAATTATGTATTTTTTATGAGAAATGTTTATCTTTCAAAACATATTGATTAAAAAAAAAAATGTGTAAATTAATTAGACTCAGCATTTTAGTTTGATGAGTTTGAGTTATATATATATTTATTATTTTGTGTTTACGCTTTAACTAAGTATTTTTCTTATTTTCTCTTTCGTTAAAATTTTTTTCTTTTTTACAATTTTTTTTTTATCAGATAAGTTTAGGTAAGTTTTTGTAGCCCATTTTTAACTTTTGAAAATATGTCAAAAGCCGAGGTCAAATCATTAAAGCATATTATTTTTTGCGTGGTCATATTAAGACGTGCGATTGCACGCCTTCCTCTGAAAACCTATATATATATATATATATATATATATATATATATATATATATATATATATATATATATACATATATAATGGTATATATACATATATAATGGTATATATACCGTCAGACCTCCAAAAATTTGCTAAATACAAGAGCTATAAACTTGTAGATTTTATTCAAGAATTAGTCCAACAAGATGCACCAGGGTGGCCACTGCTCCTCTAAAAGTCCTCTTTTTTCAAAAACCTATTATCCTCTCAAAAGTTAAAAATATCATAAAATCTCCTCTTTAAATCCTCTTTTTTATTTTTTTTATTTCTTGATGGTAGTATAATGTTCAAAATTCATGATCTGCAAAATGCGTAACGTCTGAAATGAGAATTGGGTTGTAAAAAAACAATTTTACCAAATCCATGTCATCTAACAAAAAGTCACATTGTTGACCCCTGTCCAAACCCCAGTTATGTGGAAACATAGGTGTTAAACTTTGAAAAAAAAATCCTCTAAAATCCTCTATTTTTATTCAAAATTTTGAGTTTTTGCGAAAAAATCCTCTAGATTTAATGCAAAATCTCCTCTAAAATCCTCTAATATCCTCTTTTTCTTATGAAAATTCTATGTGGCCACCCTGTGAACATATGTGAAAATAAGCCATGTGGCTTTAATACTTTAACCACAACTTATTAATAAAAGTCATTTTTGAAAAATCCAAAAATGGGGTAATTTGGCCACTTAACAAAAAAACATAATTTAAACAACAAAACATTGTTTATCAAATTAAAGTCACAAAACTTTTTTTATTTGATAATCATCTGCAATGTGGCTTTAAAACTTTAACTAAAGATTATTAATGATAATCATTTTTGAAAAGTCTAAATATGTTGCAGTTAAGCCACTTAATAAAAATAAGTTAAACAGCAAAACGTTGCAATACATGTTTATGAAATTAAAGGAAGTATGTTTCAAAAGTAAATCAATCTTTAAATGTTATCTGGATGCCTTGTGGCTTTTCTGTAATTCATTTTCTTGTAGCCAGGCTTTTGCTGAGATTAGTCTTATCATAGTTCATTACATTAGAAGAACAATGTTCTTGATCACGTTTTGCAGATTGTAAAAAAAAAACAAAAAAACAAGTTGCTTTTTATTTACAGCTGCACCAATCCTTAAAATGTTCTGACCAATTCTCTGTAAAATTAGATTGTGGTGTCTTTTCAAAAATCTGTAAGCTTGATCCTAATGAAGTGCTTTATCATAGCTCAATTTTGAGCAATGACAAGCGCTTCATTATCAGAAACAGCAATTCAACAACAATGGCCTTCCTATCCTTGTCCACTTGCTCTATGGGATAGTTACTGTGTCTGTGTAACCTTCCTTTAGCTTGTATGTGCATGGCATATCGCAACTGATTATTAAAAAAAAAACACCATATTATCCCAATTTTTAAAATGGCCTATTTACCCCATTTTGCTACCCCAATGCTTTGAGCTTTAAAGTGTCATTACCTAATTAGCTCATAGAGGTCTGGTTATAATTTTGGTCGAATTGCCCCTCAAATATTGCTTGGCGTTTTTAAAATCTGAAAAGACAAAAATAATCTTGGTAAATATATAATGATGTTATTTTATTTTTACAGCAAGAATTTGCCCGACTAGTTTTGTGTACATGGAATGTGGTCCAGTTTGTATTTCAACTTGTGACAAAAATGGAATAAATAAATTATGTAAGGAAGGATGTTTAGAAGGTTGTTACTGTCCACAGAATACAGCTTTATCAAATGGAAAATGTGTACCCACTGGAGAATGTCATTGTGAACATAATGGTCATCAATACAATCATGGTGAACAGATACTTTCACATTGTGATCAATGGTATTATTAAGCAGATTATATATTTTTTAAATTATGAGTTTTAATTCAAAATAAACTCATTTTAAATTTTTTTTTAATTTTTTTTGTTTTTTCAGTTCAAAAGTACTTAAAAAATTTAAAAGTATATTTTTAATTCAATAAATAATATATAAGTTTAAAAAAATTCAAAATACATTTAAAAAATTATAAATACACTCAGTTAATAAGAATTTAATTCAAATTTCAAACAAATGGAATACAATAAAGAACATTGTACATATGTGTTTAAAAAAGTTGTTTTATAAATCTTCCCAGGAAATACATGCGGTTTTTCTATATATTTTTTTATTATATGATATTATTTTCTATTGTATATATTTGTTTGTTCATTGGTATTTGCATGTTTAGCTTATATTGGATAAGGTGTTTATTTCATACACAGAGTGTCGGTGGTTCTATTTCCACCACTTCCCAAATTATTTTATTTTTTTACCCACCCCTTATATCTTGGTCTATTATGTTATTCGTGAAGTATACATAAACAACTATTAATAATAATTGGATTACAATTAATAATAATTAATATTTATAATTCCATATCAATTATTAATAATTATTATTAAAAATCACATAACAATTATTAATAATAATTATTAATAATTGTTTACGTATATTTTACCAATAATGTAGTAGATCAAAAGGTTAGTAGAACTATGCGCACTAGGCCGAATGTTAAAAAGCAACAGGTATCCAAAATTATAAAGCTCTAAAAGATTTGGGATAAAAAAGGTACAGGAATAGAAAGGTAATATGAAACAATTAAGGCTATGTAAAAAATGTGTTGACGGCATGGCCTAATTGAAGCTTAAAAACTATGTATTTATAAATGTGTGCTTTACTTAGAAAATATACTGAGGTGCTTAAATGGTATAAGAAATCTGAATGTGAGGAGATACTTCTTTCAAAAATATACGACAGAAAGATTTTTATATACAAAAAAAGAAAAGATAAATGGTTACAAAGCAAATATATGATTAATGGTGCTTAAGAAAAAATCAATAGATAAATGGTTAGTGGTGGGATTCGAACAATGGTCATTCCATGTATGAAGCAATTGTCCTATTCAAACATGCTATATACTGTGTATATCAATGAACAAATAAATATAGTTATATAATAAAAAAATTATACAGAAAAATATACACATGCATTACATATAGGTATTCATCTCTAAACTATTTAATGAGCGCTTTACTAAGTCTTGTTTTCCTGCCTGCTGGAAAATGGCATCTGTTGTTCTAATTTTCAAAAACTCTGGTGAACATTCTGACCCCTCCAGTTATCATCTAATCAGTCTTCTTTCTGTTATTAGCAAGGTCTTTGAGTCTTTGATAAACAAATTTCTCACATTCCATCTTGAGTCGAATAACTTACTGTCAGACAATCTTTTTGATCCTCTTGCTCTAACTGCCGTGACTAAATTTTTTTATCATGTATTAGATGGAGGAGGAGAGGCTAGAGTTAATGCTCTTGGCATATCTAAGGCTTTCGACAAAGTTTGGCAAAGTTTGGTCTTCTCCATAAGCTTGTTTCATATGTTGTAAATTTTTGAAATTATCAAATTGTTTTTTATTAACTGCTTTCTAAAAGTCATACTTGAAGGCCAACACTCTTCATTATTACCAGTAACTTCTGGGTTACCTCAAGGCTCTATCCTTAATCCTTTTTTGTTTGTTATCTACATTAATGATCTTCCGAACAAACATTAATCAACAGTAGCTCTTTTTGCTGATGACTCAACTTTATACTCCGGTTTGACAAAAAGTCTTCTTTTTTCAATCGCTTAGAACAGATTGGGCCTCACAGTGCTTGTAAATTTTAACTCCAACAAAACTCAGTTATTTACTGAGTTAGTTAAAAACATCACACACAACAAATACATACAAAATTCAATGGTTGTGTTTGTGTACTTATTATTATTTGATTTTTTTATTATTTTTTGAATAAAATAAAAATAATAACAAGTAAATTGTTAAACTTAGAATTGTCTGGTTCTTAATTAAAAAAACTATTAAATCTAAACAAACTTTAAAATCACCATGTTTCTTATATATTTACTTATATTTATATAATCTCAAAGACAATTTAAATGAAACTTAAGTTCTAACATCAATATATTTGTTTAAACTTCAAGATGTTTTCCAATCTTCATCAAATTTTGATCACAATTGCCTAGAAATCAAAAAACTTGAAAAAAAAGTTAAATTTATTTTTAAATATTTTTGTTGTTACATGTTTTATTTGTTTTTTAATTTTGATTATAGCACTTGTTTTGGTGGTAAATGGAATTGTAATGCAACTGAATGTAGTGGTATGTTATCATTTTTTGCTAATGTTATGTTAAAATTATAGTTTAACTAGATATACAAATCTATTAAACATTATTTTATTTATGAGATTATCCTCCAAAATATTTCTCTTTTTTCTCTTTAAATTATTAAATTAATTCAAATTTTTAGGTCATGCATTTCTTTATGGAGATGGTCATGTGACAACTTATGATGGAAAAGAGTATGATTATCCTGGCCTACGCCGTTATACATTCACTCAAGATGACAGTGGATTGTTTACTGTTGAACTTGATAGATGTGCTTGTAAAGAAAAAGACTGTTTTATGAATGTTTACATTTCTTTTAAAGCCATGCCAATAATATTTTCACATAATAAATACAATTTTACTGTCTCAGTTAATGGTTTAAAGGTAAATGTTCCATTCATCTCTGATCGTGGTTTTTCAATTGCGCATAGTTCAAATATATTTTTAAATTTTAAAAGCATAGTTGGTTTTGAAGTTTTATGGGATGGTAGATCAAGATTGTATGTGACTGCACCAGGTAGTTTTAAAAATAAAATGGCCGGCCTTGCTGGGGACTTCAATTTAAAATCAGTTGATGATTTTAAAACTTCTAGTAAAGATCTTGCACATTTTGCAGTGGATTTTGCAAACTCGTGGACTTATGCTCAAGATAACTGCTCCTTGATTGATGTTGATTATCGGTTAACTAATTGCGAAAAGAATCATCAAATTGCATCATATGCAAAAACAGTTTGTTCTCAACTGTTATCAAGTGAGTTCTCTTTATGTCACAAAGTCGTTGATCCCACTCAGTATGTTGAAAACTGTTTAGAAGATGTTTGTGGCTGTAATGGACGACAAGAATGTTTATGTGATGTTTTAACTGCGTATTCTAGACAGTGTTCACTTAGTGGAGTTGTTTTAAAAGAGTGGAGAAACAATTCTTATTGTAGTAAGCATTTTTTAAAACTAATTTAGTTAAATGTTTGAAAGTATTTTTATTTTTATTTGTTTTAGGTGTTAGGTATTTTATTCATAAAAATTTTTTTTTTTTTTTTACAAAAATGTGTGAAGTATATTCAAATAATTTTGTATTTAGATTGTGTATTTAAATAGTCGGCATATAATTTATGCATTCAAATTTATAATTTATGCATTTAAGTTTAAAGTTTATCTATTAAAATTTATCATTTATGTATTTAAATTTATAACTTATGCATTTAAATTTATAATTTATGCATTTAAATTTATAATTTATACATTTAAATTTATAATTTATGTATTTAAATTTATAATTTATGCATTCAAATTTATAATTACAGACATCCTGAACTACTCTGAAAAAAATTTTATTAAAAAGAAAATTGATAAAAAGATAAATTATTTCTACCTGACAGTAATAAAAGTCTACATAGTAACAATAAGTATTAGTAAAAGTTGTATAATGTAATTATAAATTTAATTTTTTAACTTTCTCCATGAATTTTTGCAAATTTTTTTTGAGCAATCACATTTCAAAACATTCATATAATTTGGGTGGCATATTTTTTTCAAGTCTATGCTTAGAGAATGCTTTTCTTTTCCTTTGATTTTTACAGATCAGACAACTGCAAATTTGTAGTAACGTATTAAAGGCTTAATTTTGATTGAGTCAAAGCCAATGTCGGGCCAAGCTCGGCTGCCGATATTGGACCGACTGTATTTTTGTCCATACAAACTGAGGTTGGCTCGACATTAGCTGGCTGCTCAAACTGTTGTAATGCATTGGCTGGCCGATGTTGAGCTGACGCGATTCCAATCAAATCATTGGCTGGCCGATCTCGGCCTGATGCGATTCCGTATGGACAAAAACAATGGCGGTCCGATGTCGGCAGCCAAGCTAGGCCCGATGATTAAAATAAGCTACAAATGTTCGGCTAGCCGATGCAAATCTTAACACACTTATTTAAATTGAAAAATAGGATTAAGCAACTAAAGTATATGTAAAACACAATTATAAAATAAAATTATTTATTTCTTTTAAATAAATTATTCTGAATCAGTTGAATCATCAAATAAATTGAATCGGGTGAAATTCCAACGTTTTTTATTGACCGATAATTAACTGTGATAAATAATTGTGTGCAGCATCTAAAAAAAAAAGTATAAATTAAATTTTCACATCAATAAAGCAGTATAACACAAATCACAACATAGATAGGTGACTGACAATGTATACATACTAATGTAAACATACTGATTGGAAGTGTATAGACTTCCAGACAGTAACCAAATTTCAACTTTTAATTTCAGAGAACGAAAAAAGTTAATTTATGTTTATAATATGAAAAGTATTATATTTCTAATTCAATAAAATGTTACTTGGGCATTTTGAATCAGGATGTGCACCGCCAAAATCATTTTTTTTTTTTTTTTTTTATGTTATTCATCTCCTCAAGGCCGAGAAGGCCACTACAGATGAGGAGGCTACTTAATAGTGGTTATAACCCTCTCTCAACTCTATAACTCCGTAACATGAACCTTGATGAACAAGGCCGCTCCGCGGAGAAACAAGTTGAGCGCAGTACTACCAGGAATGTGGTGGGGATCGAACTTGGAACCTCTTGCTTATGAAGTGAGTGTTTTACCACTACACCACTACCGCATTTGCATCTTTGGCATTGTTTATTTCGTTGCATTCAACAACCCCTATAAAAGTTAACATGTTATATAAAATATGCTGGAGCTTAAGCCATATTATATACATACATACATACATACATACATACATACATATATATATATATATATATATATATATATATATATATATATATATATATATATATATATATATATATATATATATATATATATATATATATATATATATGTATGTATGTATATATAATACACACATATAATAATAATAATAATAATAATAATAATCTTACTCAGGCTTTTAGAATCAAGATATACATTACCAAAATCTACAGCCCCTGAAAATTATATACCAATAAAAATATGAATAAAATAAAGATAATATTGGCATAGCAACAATATAACACCTCCATTTTAAAAGTTTTCCTTCTGAGAGCACTGTGTTAAAAATAGGTTCATGCAAAAAAAAATTATCACCATGAAAGGTTATATTTTATCAATAAATAAAGAAATAACTGAAGATATTTTAAAATATGATACAAACTTATTTTGCTTAAAACTTAGGTCACTAGTAAATAAAACTACTTCTACCTTAGCTTGTGTTGAAATGAACATAAATTTAACATATCATACAACAAACTATTCAGACCTGAAAAAACGATTTATTATAATAGACCTGAAAAACCTTTTAGGTTATGAAAAAATAAATTCGAAGTTGACTTTGAACTTATAAAAGACACTAATTTCTTTTAATTTTTTTTATAATAAGACACAAATCTCTTACGTAGTTAAGTAAAAAAATTAAATCTCTTACATAATTATTTATACTAAAAAAATAGAAGAAAATAAAGAAAAGAAAGAAAAAGAAATGTTAGAAAATACACCACTCCTTGGTAATTTAGAACATGGCCATCATGTATTGAATTTTGAAGTTACCAATAACAAAGACTATCAAACAAAATATCTGTTCAACAAAGGTAAATATAAAGAGTTAAATACTTTAATAATCATAACTGGGAAAAAGAGTTTGAAACCTTTAGTGTTAATAAAAGCTTTTTAAGATGGTTAACAATTTATGAAAAATGTTGCAAAATGTTCATGCCTCAAATTCAACAAAGCAACCAAATCATTAGAAAAATAAAATCATTATGGTTGACTGAAGACCTAAAATTAAAGTTAAAAAGGAACTTATGGTACAAAATCAAAGCTGCAGGTTTTAAAATTATAGATGATGTTATAAATTACAACAACCTTAATAAGATTTTAAAAAAAGATATTAAAAAAGCAATTATGGAGTATGAACATAATTTAGTAAAACAATCAAAATCAAATATTAAATGTATATACTCTTATATAAACAGTAAAACCAATACAAACAAAAAACACTATTAGAGCCATAAGAGATATAAATGGTGATGTTACAACAAATGGTAAAACAATATGCAATACATTAAACACATTTTTCAGTTCAGTATTCATAATTGAAAATAGCATAATATTCCATTATTTGAAAAAAAACCTTTCTAAGTTGTCCATATCAAAAATTGGAGAAATTAATAATTGAAACAAAACTCATTAAAAACAAATTAAACACAAATAAAACAACAGGTGCAGATAAAGTACATCCAAGAGTGTTAAAGGAATGCTCACAAAGTTTATGTAAACCTTAGAGTTAATGTTTAATCAATCATTCGAAAGTGCAACTCTACCAAACTTATGGTTACATGCAAAAATAACACAATTGCATAAAAAAGATGACAGACTTGAATCAGCTAACTACAGACCAATTTCATTAACATTGATTGTATGCAAAGTTATGGAAAGTATTGTCAGAGATGAAATAATGAAATATCTTAACAATAGTTATTTAATCTCAGTGCTCCAACATGGTTTTGTGAATAAAAAAAATTGTTGTACAAATTTACTAGAAACATTAGATATTGTCAGTAAAGCGTTTGACAATAATATTCCAGTTGAAATTATATTTCTAGATTTTGCTAAAGCTTTCGATACTGTGCCACATGAAAGATTGTGCATAAAACTAGCTAGTTATGGTATTATTGGTGATCTGTTGAACTGGTGCAGAGCTTTTCTAAAATATTGGTTACAACAAGTTGTACTTGGAGAAAATATTTCTAAATGGACAAATAATATAAGTGGTGTTCCTCAGGGATCAGTACTTAAACCATCATTATTTATTTTAAACATAAATGATATGATGTTAAATATAAAAAATGAATGTAAATTGTATGCAGATGATACAAAATTAATATCTATACTAGATCATAACAGCAGTACAGAAAATTTACAAGAAAGTCTAAATAAAATTGTACAATGGATAAAAAACTAGTTGATAGTATTTAATTATGAAAAGTCCAAGGTTATGCATATCAGAAAAAATAATCCTAAAAATGAGTACCTGATGCTTAACAATTCCAAAAATAAAATGAATGCCACTAAACTAACAAAACCAACTTTAGAAAAAGATCTTGGCATAAATGTATCAAATGACCTTAACTGGAATTACCAGATTAACTATACAGTCAATAAGACTTACCAAAAATTAGGCCTAATAAAACACTCTTTTGAATATTTAGATAAAAGAAATATAAAATTACTATTTACTTCATTATTCAGACCTAATCTTGAATATGGATCACCATTATGGAACCCACATTTACAAAAACATATCAATATGATCGAACAAGTCTAGCAAAGAGCAACTCATATCCACAGTTTAAAAGGTTTACTACATGAAAATAGATTAAGCAAAATTAATCTTTTGACATTAAAAAATAAAAGGTCTAGAGCTGATATAGTGCAACTATACAGGTTTATGAATAACTTAGATGTAATTAATTGGTACAATCCTCCTATATTTATGAAAAATTCAATTACAAGAGGGCACAATAAAAGAATATGTAGACAATAAAGCAAAAACGGTTGACATAATTTTATTATAAATAAAATAGTAGACAAAATGAATTGTTTACCACAAGAAGTTGTGGATAATGATTCATTTTGCAAAAAACTTAAATACATTTAAAACCTTTTATGACAATTGCATAAAAAACTGTGAAAAGCTGTTACAGTCTGACATCTACTGTTGTTAGACTCTATACACTGTAATGTGTATCACAGCTTGTTTGTTTTATTTTATTTATTTCTAGTAACTTTAAGTAAATAAATTAGCAAATATATTGAAAAAAAATAAAATAAATAATAATAATATTGAGATCATAATAAAAATTATTATTTTAAATATGAAAGATACAATATAAATAAACAAGGCAAAAAGTTAAAATGACATGATAAAAAAATAGTTAAACTTATTTTGTTTAAAACTTATGTTACCATTATATAAAAATATTTCTACCTTATCTTGTATTGAATTGAACTTTTCTATCTTTAACATTACTATCTGAACGATGTTCACAATTTAACATTACTATCTGAACGATGTTCACAATTTAACATTACTATCTGAACGATGTTCACAATTTAACATTACTATCTGAACGATGTTCACAATTTAACATTACTATCTGAACGATGTTCACAATTTAACATTACTATCTGAACGATGTTCACAATTTAACATTACTATCTGAACGATGTTCACAATTTAACATTACTATCTGAACGATGTTCACAATTTATGTTCAATCTTTAAAATTTAATGAGGTAATTAAAAAAAATCAATCGTTAAAGAGTTATCATTGTTTACTTATTTAACAAGTTTTGAGTTAATGAACTAAATAATATTATTTTATGTTTAACTTAAAAGTTAATAAATTTTTAATCAAACATAAATCACAAACTGTATGCTCACAGTTTAAATATTTTTTAACTGTTATCAAAACAAATTACTGTTTACCTAGTATATTGATATTATTATCTAATATTTTTATATCTTAAACTTTAGTGATTTATAAATTTTTGTAACTACTCAAATAAAATTCAAATAACTATTTGTAAATAAAAAATAAAGTTATTATTTATAAATACTAATTAAATAATATTAATTTAACAGGTAAACAAATAACTTTCCTATGCATTAAAAAATTTTGATAATTCAGAATTAGTTCTTTGCCTTTCAGATAGATAGGTTTTGCTGCCATTTTTAAAATTTAATAGAAAATTTAATAGAGTTTATTATTCGGTTTTTTTATATAATGCATTATTAAAATAAAAAATAGAACCAAATTGACTGATTGTCGACTTTACATCGGCTGAATGTCGGCTGAATGTCTGTTTGCCTATTCATTGGCCAACAGACACAAAACCGACGTTCAATCGATATTGTTTTGCAAAAAACAGAGTAGCCAATGTTCAACCGATGTAACAAGCTCGGCCCGAGGTCCCACTTCAAAAAACTACAAAAGCTAGTGATAAAAGCTACAGGTGATATAAATTATTGATGTTACTATGCTGAAATTTGTTTTTATAAAGTTTTATCATATAATCTGTTGAATCAGTTTTCATTATACAAAACAGATTTTCTGTACTGATTGTTCAATTTTCTGTACTCATCATTCATTTTTCTGTACTCATCATACATTTTTCCATACTCATCATGCATTTTTCCATATTCATCATGCATTTTGGCAAATAATGGCATTTTTGTAGCTTAGAACTTATACATTTTCGAATAGATTATATAAAATTATACATTTTTTTTTATCAGTGGTTACATTTGACCCTGAGATATTGTATTATTTATATTTATTATATACTTTTTTTATGTTGATAAAGATAACTTGTAGTCTCTTATCAATCTTAATAAGGATAGTGAAAAGCAAGTTGTGTAGATTTTTTTGTTCACTATACAAAGTTTGTTTCTTTTTTAAAATAAAGCATGTGTCCTCATGTATGTATAAAAATAAATTTCTGTTAGTTATAGAAAGTTTTTATTTAAAAAAGTTAATAGCCATGGTTCTGCAGTTGTGTATTAATGTATATTTTTATATTTTTTGTTCAAATTATAAAAACAAATATATTGTTAGTCAATATTGAAAAAAATAATTGTTATGTTAATATATTATTGAAAAACATTAATGTAACTAATGCTATGCAATATAAGCAACATATGACACATCAGGCCTTGTTTTAAATAAAAAAATGCATAATGCAATAGCCTAATGTGAATTTGACGGTATAAAGTTCTCTTAATTCTTTTATTTTTTAAAGACATTAGCTTTTTTAATTTACTGCAATAATATTAATTACAGCAAAACAAGTTATTTGTTATTTAACTTCTTTTTTATTACAACTATTAAGGAATATTTATATTCTTTTATATTTTTTAATATTTAAATTTAATATTTCATTTTTACTTCATTTATTAAAAGTTTATTATTTTATAAACGATTTTGTTGTGTTAGCAAATATTATTTTTCCAAACATTTATTAAAATCATCATTTATTAAAATATCGCTGAATTTATTATTTATTAGAAAATGATCATTTTGATTTAACTTTCGTTATAAAAAAGAAAGTTTAACTTTTGTTTTGTGCAAATTTTTGATGCAGTCGTTTATTTAAAATTTAATTTTGAGTAAAAAAAAAAAAATTTTGAGTAAAAAAACAAAAAAAAAAAAAACAAAAAAAAACAAAAAAAAAAAAAAAACAATTGCAATATAAATGAGCTAACTTTTCTTTTAAGAATAAATAAAATTTCAAGATTGAACACCATTTAGTAATATTTTTAAATAAATTTGACAGCCCAAACATTAATTTTAATTTAACTGAAGTATATATTTTTTTAACTTATTTAACTTAAATATATTTTTTAAACCAAAGTTAAATTATATATTTTTTAAATATCTAATTTAAATTATATATATATATTTTTTTTTATCAGAATAAAATTATATATTTTTATTAAATTAGTTTTTAAATCATATATTTTTATCAGAATTAAATTATATTATTATGATCTTTTCTTCAAGCTCAAAGTATTAGCATTTTTCAAGTGAATAAATCAATCGTTACAATAAAAACAAATTAAAAATAAATTTTAATTTTATTTGAGTTTTTTTCATCAGTAAATAGCGCTTATATGTAACATTCAAACTTTTATAACAAATATTTTTACATAATCATCTTTTAAAAGGTAATGTTTTTTTTTTTTTTAATTAATTACTTCTTTTATCTTACCGCTTATAGAATAATTTAAAAGTTAGAAAATTATAAAAAGTTGCTTAACCAAAAACGCTTACTGCTTATGTAAAATTGCTTAAAGTGTACATAAATCGCTCTATGCGTAACGCTTTAAAACAAGGCCTGTGGTGTGATAATCAAAATTATTTAATCGAAACCAACCATTTAAGGAAAGGTTTTTAATAAATATAATCTTTTAAATCACTTCAAACCAAAAAACCTTGACACCTAGATACATGACAGGATTGAACTTTTTGATAAACTTACAAAGTCCATAATCTAAACATAGTGTGATTTTCCGTCCTAAATCTGTTTCAATTCATCATCTGCAATTAAGTTACTTGTTTTTGATGAGATGGAGTTAGTACTAACTAGGACTATAGCCCTAGGTGGTTATCCCTCTGTCATAAATATAAGTGGTTATCTCTCTGTAATGCACTACAATGATCAGATTAAAAGTAATAAGTGACCAGGTTCCCATCCATGTCTCCAGCTAAAAATAGGAAAATTATAAGATTTAGAAAAAAACTAGATAATAAAAAATTTTGGAGGATAAAGTGACAGTTACAGTAGCTCGTTTGAGCAACGACCATGGTATTATTTGTGAAAATACTAGAGAGTGAGAGGGTTGTTATTCAATGTTATTCGACTTTAATCTAATTAATTATTTATTAACCTCAAAATCTATAATATAAGAATCATGATTTAATAACCTCAAAACCTATAATATAAAGAAACTAATATTAGAGTGAAGACTAACTGTAGGATGGTTAGAGAGGTCAGAGAATTTTCTAGAGTTTTTAAAAATTAGCACTTACTAATAGTTTAGTGAGAATTGAAGAAAGTTCTGGAAAACACTTTTGTAAGACTGATGGAAAATTTGTCTGAACCACAAGCCTTAAAAGAGTTTTATTGAGGATTAAAATGGTTGGGTATCAGCATGCAGCTCCAGGAGAAAATGGTTGAAAGTAAGAAAACATGGATAGGGTGCGTTACCTTATGGTATGAATGAGTTAAGGAAAGAAGATGCTCAAGGTTGTTTATATTAGAGAAACAACATAAAAGGGGATCAGCTTGATGATCATAAAAATGATTATGATAATGATAACTATGATGTTGATCATAGTGATGTTTATAAATATAGATGCATGTATATATAAAATGTTTATATATAAATATACATGCATATATATAAAAAATATAACACGAGTTTTGAATAAAAAAATATACTTTAGGATGTATTAATGTTTATGCAGCCCTGGTCACAAACACAGCCCCAGCTAATTTTTATCAGACCTGGCCTTGACCGTGGTCAAAATTTAACCACAGTCCCTTACTAATTAAAAGTGGAAATTAAGACTCATAGCTAAAGCTTGAAAAATTTTGTGAAATGGGAGTCTATTTTTTTTAAAAGGTGAAATTATTACAGTTTCTTAAAAAATAAAGCTGAAAAATTTACCTTGAATATCTCTTGCTACTAGTTATTTATAAACTTTGATTATAGAGAATAAAATGTTGTGAACTGTTGATAAGTATACAAGTCATTAGGAAGGAAAGGAAGGAATTAGCTAAACCTGATTGATATTCTTTGTAATATCCTGTTGACTTAATGTAAAAAGTATTTTTTTTTTCGAACAAATGCCTTGTTTACACCTTGCACCTGCACTATGCACAATGCACCATTCAACAAAAAAAGAATGGCCTTTTAATGTTCAATTTGTATTCAATTAAATAAAAGTGGCAGAGAGTTGTTTTTAGTTTTCTTTAACTTTATGGTGACAGAAGTTGTTAAAAATATTTTTATTACAAATGTTTTTAGATTATATTTGTGATTCGCCAAATCAAGTATGGAGTGAGTGTGTGACACAATGTACAAAAACTTGTTCTGATGTGCTATCTCCTGATCCTTCTTGTAAAGAAAACACTTGCGTTGAAGGTTGTACATGTCCAGAAGGACATGTGTTTGATGAAAGCACAAGCAGTTGTATTCTTAAAAGTAGATGTGGTTGCATGAGTGAAGGAGTTATGTACCTTAATGGAGAAAAACTAGAAAAGGGTTGTAATACATGGTAAAATGTTTTTTAATTTTTTTTTTAATGTTTGAAGATATATACATTTTATTTAATTGAACATGATTATTACTTTAAAGTAAATAAAGAATCACTTGTTATTGACATTGACATCTTTATCATTGTTGACAATACTACAAGTTAGTATAAGTGAGAGATTTAAATAAATATCATTGATTTATTCCAGGTTAAGTACAGTATAAAAGATATATAAACATATAATATGGTAATATATAAGTTGGTTATTACAAATTAAGTGAGTAATATATAAGCATAAATATGTGAGTGATGTGTATACATAATCAAGTGAGGGATGTGTTAACATAAATAAGTTAGGGATGTGTAAATTATGTGTATTAATAATAATATCCTCTTAAATAAAAGATATTGAAAAAATTATATTTTAATACCTTTTATTTAAGACATTATTATTCAAGATATTGTTTTTTATATATAGTGAATGTAAACATGGGGTTTTTGTTTGTTCAGAAAATCATTGTGAAGATGGTATACTTTTTTTAAATAGTTTTCTGTTTATTAAATTTTTTTTTTTACATATTTATAAACACACACATTTATAAAAAATATTTGGTGTAGATATTTAAATAGTTTACTGCTTGTATTAACACACTTTAGCACATTTTAAATCTAATTTCTTAATATTAGGTTCTTTTTAAATAATTTTTTAGTTAGCAATACATGTAGTGGTGGAAAAATTTGGAACAGTTGCATAAAAACTTGTGGTGGTACATGTAAAACATTTGATCAAGTATGTATATCTACCATTCCTAGTATATGTGTAGCAGGATGTGAATGTCCTAATGGTACTCTAGAACACAATGGTGTATGTCTTTCTCAATCAGAGTGCCCTTGTATCCATAATGGGAAACAATATAATCAAGGAGAGACCATCAATAAAGATTGTAACAAATGGTATTAATGAATTTTCAATTGAATTGTGTTGATAATATTTATGTTTTTTTAGTTTAAATGTATTTTACATATTCTTATGATTTCTCTCACAAATACTTTAAATTTCATTTATAAAAGATATTTAATTTAATAGTCAGTAATTTTTGTCAAAAATTTCATTTATAAAAGATGTTTAATTTAATAGTCAGTAATTTTTGTCAAAAATTTCATTTATAAAAGATATTTAATTTAATAGTCAGTAATTTTTGTCAAAAATTTCATTTATAAAAGATATTTAATTTAATAGTCAGTAATTTTTGTCAAAAATTTCATTTATAAAAGATATTTAATTTAATAGTCAGTAATTTTTGTCAAAAATTTCATTTATAAAAGATATTTAATTTAATAGTCAGTAATTTTTGTCAAAAATTTCATTTATAAAAGATATTTAATTTAATAGTCAGTAATTTTTGTCAAAAATGAAAATATCATTATATTATTCTATTTATCCTATATTTGGATGAGTGTATGTTTCAAAAACTACTGCCATAGATAAGTGTATGTTTCAAAAACTACCATAAAACAATCATAAGTGTAATTGAAAAAAAAAAAGACTTTTTTTTTCTTTGCTATAAAATCTTCAAACAAAATATAACTTTTTTTAAATTTTCAATTTGAAAAAAATAGACAGATTCTGCATTTACATTTTTTTCTTTTGAAGGCTAGTCTCCTACATTTAAAGTCTAGTCTCACATACTTTTGAAGACTAGTCTCATCTACTTTTGAAGGCTAGTCTCACCTACTTTTAAAAGCTAGTCACATACCTTTGAAGGCTAGTCTCACCTACTTATGAAGGCTAGTCTCACCTACTTTTGTTAAATATATATTTTGAATAATATAAATTTTTAGTCAAATTGGTGTATAAAAGTTAATATGATCAACCTATGGTGGTCATTTTTGAAAATACTGTAACTAAACAAATAGAATAGCATACATGGTATTAAAAAAGTTTTCTTTTGTTTTGTTTAATCCTATTATATACAAATATTTTTTCCAAAAACATTTGTTATTTATCCAAGTTAATGATTTTAACTTTATTTAAGTAAATGCTCATATGGCAAATGGTCTTGTACAAATTATCCATGCAAAGGTATTTTTTTTTGATTTATAAAATAAAGTTTTTTTTTTTTTTCTAGAAACATTTTATTTATATATACTTTTGCTTAAAAGTGGTATTTATAAATTTGTCTTTTACTTTCATTTAATTTAAATTATTTATTTTAAATTTTAGCAACATGTTCAGTATTTGGTGACTCTCATTATAAAACGTTTGATAGCAAATTGTATGATTATCAAGGTCAGTGTGAACATGTTATGGTTTCAGACCTTTGTCAAAATGGGGCTGCTACTAATGAAAATGTTCGTATAACTGTGGGGTTGACAAGTTGTGGGTCAATGGGTGTAGCCTGCACACGCGAAGTTACTGCTGTAATATATGGTGCTACATTTAAAATGATAAAGGGAGATAAAAAAATAATTGTTCAAACCCCTGAAAATTTTGAAGATTATCACTTTAAAATATTTAAGCATGCTGGTATATATGTTCAAATAGTATCTAGTTATGGTATTTCTTTGCTTTGGGATAATGGAACAAGGCTCTATATTTCTGTTCAACCATTTTTTGAAAAGAAGCTTTGTGGTTTATGTGGAAATTATGATGGAGCAGAATCAAATGATTTCTACACTCGTCAAGGTGATATTGCTGGTAACCCTATAACTTTTGGGCATTCTTGGGTCAATGATAACTCCTGCCCACTTGCTCATGAAATTATTGATACTTGTCAAATTCGATCACATAGACATGACCCAGCAAAGCATGAGTGTGCAATTATAAAGTCAGATTTATTTAAAGATTGTCATCATCGTGTTGATCCAACTTACTTTTATGACAAATGTGTGTTTGATGTTTGTGGTTGTGATTCTGTAGGAGATTGTGATTGTTTGTGTTCAGCTATTGCTGCATATGCCAAAGAATGTTTAGATGAAGGTGTTGCAGTGAACTGGAAAAAAGGTCACAGAATATGTGGTAAGCTATTTGATAAAAAAAAAAAATTATTTAAGAAAAATTTTAAACCTGTGTACAGCTTTTTTTTAGTTTTAAACAAGTTTAGAATAAAAAACACTGCACACAGGTTTAAAGGCTCTATTAGAACTTTTATTTATTTTTAAAAATAATAAAATAAAAATTTTTTTAAATATATTTGAAATTTAATTTTTTAAATTATACTAATATAAAAAGTTTTTTATAAATATTATATTATATAAATTATATTATATATTCCAATGCATTTAAAGTTTTACTTCAATGCATTTAAATTTATTATTTAAATGTTTGTGTGAAATGAATGACACATCCTCCATAAGACAGTTATAAAGAAGGATTGGGAAATAAACAAAACATGCTCTGTAAGACATGTAGTTATAAATGAACAACACATGCTCCATAAGACATGTAGTTATAAATGAAGGATTAAAATAGAATGATATTCATATAAAAGAAAAATTTACTTTTGCAATTGAATGTGTGTAATATTTTAAGATATGATGTTTTATTTTAAAAATTACATTTGGGACTATAATATTCCATTTTACACATTTTTTATGGTGAGTTCTGTCATATCAAATAACTAACCAAAAGAGGATAGATTTAAATAAATTTGTGAACTTATGTCATTTTAGATACTTTAAATTAAGTTTTTGTGTAAAATGTCAGTGTTAAATACTACAATAATCAGTTGGAAAACTCAAAATGCACTATTGATAGTAAATAGTAATTATTTTAGTTTATTTCTATGTTTAATAATAAAAATCTTATTTCCTTTTATTTTCAAGAAAACTTTATGTGCTGTCCTAAAGGAATGTCATATCAAACAAAAGGATCTGGGTGTCCAAAAACTTGTCTATATCCTGATGGAGATCTACATTGTCCAGTACCATTTGTTGAAGGGTGCCAATGTGAGGAAGGTTATGTTCAGAATGTTTCTGAAAATAATGAGGTTGTTTGCATTAAAGTGTCTGAGTGTGAGGTTTGTGAGATCAATGGAAGAAGACTTAAAATTGGAGAAAAAATAAAAGACAACTGCAGAGAATGGTAAAAATATTTTTGATTTACACATCAGTAAATTTTGATAAAGTATTTGCTTATTAAAATAATTTGAAAATTTTATCCAACTTGCTAGTTAACTTAAGAATTATAACTATAACTGTTAAATTACTATGATGAAGTAGTTAGCATAATTAGGTTGTATATTATGATGAAATAGTTAGCATAATTAGGTTGTATACTATGATGAAATAGCATAATTAGGTTGTATACTATGATGAAGTTGCATAATTAGGTTGTATACTATGATGAAATAGCATAATTAGGTTCTATACTATGATGAAGTTGCATAATTAGGTTCTATACTATGATGAAATAGCATAATTAGGTTCTATACTATGATGAAATAGTTAGCATAATTAGGTTGTATACTATGATGAAATAGTTAGCATAATTAGGTTGTATACTATGATGAAATAGTTAGCATAATTAGGTTCTATACTATGATGAAATAGCATAATTAGGTTCTATACTATGATGAAATAGTTAGCTTAATTAGGTTGTATGTTATGATGAAATAGTTGGCATAATGAGGTTGTATTTTAAATTAAATTTAGTAGGAAGCAGATTTCTAAATTTCATTCAAGTTGATTCTTTGTATTTTATAATTTTATAGTTTGTATTTTATATTTAATTTTTTTAACTTGGATAAGGTGATAAGTGGTGGTGGTGGTAGTGGTGATATGTAAGAGGAGATTAATGGTGGTGGTGATATCTCAATTGGCGATAATAATAAAACTATTACTTGTATTGGCTAATTCATTTCATCTTTATTTGTTGTTAAAACATAGCACACCTTTGGCTATTAGCAAATTAACATTTGCATACTAGATATAGCTAGGGGTTTTGTTTTGAATAAAATAATCCAATAAAATAATCTTGATAAAATTGAAGATCATTGCTGTATATCTATCAATCTTTAATAAAAGAAGATTTTAAATAAAAATTAATGAATATGATTTAATTTTTTATATATGCATTTATTAATATAGTTACTAAAGATCTTTATTTTTAGCACTTGTATGACAAATGGTACATTTATCTGCACTGGACATTCTTGTACATCAAGTATGTTTTATTTCTCTTTTTTTTATTATAAATATTTTGCTATTAAACATTTTTTTTAGTTATTATTAATATAGTTTAAGATTTTTGTTTGTCTTGCTTGTTTGACTTAATAATATTTTAATACTAGTTTTGCTAATTTATACTAATGGTTTATTTTATTACAGTGTAATCAGTCTTAATAATTACTGAGTCTACTAGAAAAGCTCTTGATAAAAACTTTGCATGTGATTTTTTCCACTACTTTTTCTTCTTTATATTAATGACCTTAATAGCTCGATTAAGTTTGCAACTCCTTACCACTTTGCTGATGATACTAACTTGCTCATTATCAACAAATCTTTAAAAAAAATTAACAAACACATTAATCATGATCTTGCCAATTTAGTTCAGTGGCTTTGCTCAAATAAGCTTTCTTTCAACTGTAGCAAAACTGAACTTGTCATATTCAAATCTAATAAAACAAAAATCATTTTATTTTTATTTTATCATTTTACTTTTATCATTGTATTGTTATTATTGTTACAACTACAACTTTTATTGTTATCATTATTAGTATTTTTACTCCTTCTTTTAATGTTTGTTTTATTACTGCTGTGGATGATTAATATTACTATTAGCATTAACAATATATTTATTAGTTTTTATTTACATGGTTTGTACTTAAGATTAGTACATGTACTATTTGTAAACTTTGGTGAAAGTGACAACTATTTCAAAATATATGAATTGATTGATTGAATTGATTAATAATTTGTGTAAATTAGCAGTAATATATGTTTTTGTTTGTTGTTTCATTTTTTGATATGCTAACTGTGTTTCAATTATTTATTTTATTTAATAAATTTTAAAATTTATTTATAAAAGTATTAATTTTATAGCAACAACCATTGAGTCTACCACAACCTGGACTACTACACCAACTACACTTACACCTACAATAATCTATACAACAACAACAGCATCTCCAAAATCAGGTATATTTTTTAAATCGCTTGTCAATCTGCAAACAGTTTAAGGCTGGGACTGTCACAGACTTTCTTCTTACTATTATATCAGACATTCTTCTTACAATTATATCAGACAGTCTTCTTACAATTATATCAGACAGTCTTCTTACAATTATATCAGACAATCTTCTTACTATTATATCAGACAGTCTTTTTGCTCTTAGTCTTTGAGTCTTTAATAAACCAACTTTGTGAATTTTGATATTTTCATTGTACTGCTAATTTGCTTATTTTATACAAGGTTCAAAAACTGATTGCAGTTGTTGTTAGACTAAAAAATCTTGCACAATTCTTTATTCATCAAAATTGCATGCTTTTACTATGATTCCTTTGAAATTCTTTCCGGTCTTGATCTTTTCCTAATTTATACAATTTACTGTGTTTAAAGTATTTTATCATTTTCTTATTTTTTCAATCTCTAGTTAAAACTTTTTAATAACATTAATTTTCAAATATTTGGATTTTTCATTTACATTGGATTGAATATTTCAAATTAAAAGTTGGAAATAAAATGGTTTAAAAAAATAAAGGTATCAGCATTTTTGTGAACTTTACATAAGTAATTATCAAAAACTTAAATGCATAATCATGCAATCATCAAATGCGATTGATCATCAAATGTCTTATTGGTTTTATTAGTTTTATAATAATCATTATAGCAAAGAAATTCAATTTTTAGATCTGTTTGACATGTAAAATGTAGAGAATTTGTAGACATTATATGTAAAGAATCTGTTAAACATAATATTTAAAAAATTTGTAGACAGAAGTTTTTATTCAATTTATGAAAAATTATATAGATATCACTTTATAATAAAATATTTTTTTTAAAAAAATAATAGGTTGTGTGTACTTTGATGGATACAAAAATATAACTATGGAGGTAATTATTGTTCTGGAGATATTTTAAAGCATAATTTTTTTCCTAGTTTAAATATTAACTTTTGTATTTGTGCTTTTATTTTTTTCCATTTTCATACTCGTCTTTTTTATCATTAGATTAATCAAGAAATTTCATTAAACGCATGCAATAAAAAAAAATGTGTATATGATAACTTTACTGGAAATAGCGAAATCAGCTCACAAATAACTGTTTGTGAAAAATTCTTGTGTGAATCAGATTGTGTATGTCATTTTGATAATCATTAACTAATTTTTTTTTTACTTCCTGTTGTTTTCTCTATTTTTTAATTTGTTTTTTTGTTTTGTTTTTTAATTTTAAGTTTTAAAGTATATATAAATAAGAAATAATTGATTAATAATTATATTAAAGACAATTCCTGCATCCAAACGTGCAGTTTCTGTTCTTATTGATGGAGAATGTTGTCCAAAATGTCGTAAGTTTAAAAGATTTAGTAATTAATTGTAACATAAACTTGAAACAATATTATTTTAAATTAAATAAACAATATTATTTTAATAAATCTTGAAACAATATTGTTTTTAATCCTTTACTCCATAGAAAGTGTTGATGATATTTGTCAAGGTGTTGGTTATTTACCATGTAACGGTAGCACTTGTATTCCTTCAAAATGGTTTTGTGATGGAAAAATAGATTGTCCAAGCGGAAGAGATGAAGAATGCTGTCGTGAGATATAGTTTTATTTTATGAAAATTTGTTGTTGTTGTTATTATATATTCTTATGTTGTATACTTTTATGTTTTTATATCTTCTCAATTATATAAACATTATATTATGTTCTAGCTATTTCTACCACATCAGCTACAACATCATTAACAACGACAACTGAAAAACCATGTATTTATCCCAAGATTTTCACTGAATGTTCACCAATTTGTGAAAAAAAATGTCACAGTTTAGGAGCATGCAAGTATAATAATGATTATTGTGTACCAGGATGTGTTTGCCCTAATGAAACTGTTTGGAATGGTTATGATTGTGTTGACATGAAAAAGTGTAATTGCTTGAAATCAAATGGAGATATTGCTGAGGTAAAATATCTTTTTTTTTTTTAGAACATTAGTTATTTTTGTTCATTTTTACTTCTATCAACTCTGTTATCATAAACTTGATTTGATTTCTTTTTGACTCATAAGTTATAAAAGTCAGATAAAGATGAGAATTTTTACAGACATGAGAGAATTTTAATAGCAAAAAAAAAAAAGTAAAAGCTACTACAACTTTTACACAAATACATTTACAACATATTTTAAATTATAAAAAAAATACAACAAATCACTTATCCACACAAAGGTGGATAAGTGATTATTTGAGTTAAAGATAGAATCATGAGTAAGTAATAAATAAAAAGCACAATAGGTAGGCAACTTTGCTATGGATTAGATATATGATTTCCAGGAGAGGTCAGTAATGAAAGATAGTTTGAGTATATGCAGTATATATATATATATATATATATATATATATATATATATATATATATATATATATATATATATATATATATATATATATATATATATATATATACTGTATATATATATATAATATACTGTAAGTATATATATATATATATATATATATATATATATATATATATATATATATATATATATATATATATACACTTTTAAAATCTGAAGAAGAATAAAAATATATAATTTTAAAATATATATATATTTTAAAATCTGAGAAGATTGTAACAAAAATTTATAAATATAAATAATATACTATAGTCAGCTCCATGATTTTGGGTGTGTGAATGTATTTTAAAAAAATTCATTAATCGTTACCAAATGTTGCCATTCATCAAGCTGTTCATCAATATTAACATTAATGCAATATATTATACAATAAATTTATAAATAGATTAAGTATTTTGTTTGTTTATAAATAGTTTAAGTGTTTTGATTATAAATAGTTTAAGTGTTTTCACATTATTGCAATATATTATACAATAAATTTATAAATAGATTAAGTATTTTGTTTGTTTATAAATAGTTTAAGTGTTTTGTTTGTTTATAAATAGTTTAAGTGTTTTGTTTGTTTGTAAATAATTTAAGCGTTTTGTTTGTTTATAAATACTTAGGTCGTTAGAGAAGTTTGTAGAACTTCATCTATAAACTTACAATATTTATATATCATCTTAAACTGTGTTTAATTATGAACATTTTAAGTACTTGTTAAAATATTTTGAATGTTTATTAAAAAAGTTATTTAAATTTTATTATATATTTTTGAAAGAAAAAAATCAAAAATGGAAAAACTTGAATATCGAGCATATAATAAAACTCGTGTTCTACTTGTAGTTTTAACTCAAGCCATAACTGATGAATTGGTTTTAGTTTATGGTGTCCAAGCTCCAAAATATAGTACAGTTGCTAAGTGGGCTACTTTATTTAAAGATAGTAGAGATAGTCTTGAAGATGATTCTCGCTCAGGACACCCTCAAACCACATTTACAGCTGAGAATATTGAAATTGTGCAAGCCATTATTAAAGAAAATCCGCATGCATCACATAATATAATTGAAGCCCTGAAATCGATTAATCATTTTACAATCAACATTCACAACCTACTTAAAAAAAGAAAACTAACATCACGTTGGATACCCCACGAGTTAGCTGATCAAAATCGAAAGAATAGAGTTAGGCATGTAAGGAAAATTCAGCCTTTTTCAGAAACGACCCATGGAGGTTATGTGATATTGTTACAGGGGATGAGTCGTGGTTTTATTTGAGACAAGTTGGACACTAGTCAGCTAATGCTAGTTGGGTCGGTGAAGGTGAAAGTTCAAGAACTATAGTAAGATGTGATAGGTTTCAGCCAAAAAGCATGTTCTACATCTTCTTTAAAACAACAGGTGTTGTTTATTTGGGTTATGTTGAAAAGGGAGACACCATTACTAGTGAATATTATATAAAAAATTGTTTGAAACCTCTTATATGCGAAATAAATAAGCAAAGACCTAACCCAGGCACTCACAATTTCAAATTTCTCCATGATAACGCTCAACCCCATGTAACTCAAACTGTCACAAATTGTCTAAACCAAGCTGGAATTACAATAATTCACCACCCACCATACTCACCAGACTTAGCTCTATCTGATTATTGGTTATTCAAATTGATAAAAAAAAATCTTGATGACGGTACTGACATTGAAAGCCAAAAAACTTGCATAACAAAGCTACTTGAAAGTATACCCAAAGAACAGTATAAAAAAACGTTACACAAATGGTTTGAAAGGATGCAACTTTGTATAGATAATGATGGACATTATTTTAAACATTTAATAAAGTAAAATTAAAAAAACTTTTTTTTTTTTATAGGGGAGTTTTAGAAATTTTCCTAACGACCTAAGTAGTTTAAGTGTTTTGTTTTAAGTGTTTATTGTTTATAAATAGTTTAAGTGTTTTGTTTTGTAAATAGTTCAAGTGTTTTGTTTGTTTATAAATAGTTCAAGTGTTTTTTTTTGAGTTAAAATTCACTACTGTTAACCGTCAAAGTGTCACATGTTCATCACATTCATCAAATCACATTTAAGATGTGTGTTCTAAGTAGTTAAAAGGTAATAACTTTTTAAAAAGACTTAATTATATGGTTATATCATTAACAAATAAATAAGGTTAGTAAATAAGGTAAGATTGTTGTAGCCAAATTAGAGGGCATCAGGAAGAGCATAAATATTGATGAGTAACAAAATAAAACAAAAAGATGGAACCTTAGTGCTCCAAGGTTCCATCCAGGTATTGCTGGAAATTGATATTGTCTATATAGGACAACTTTAATATTGCAATTAGAAAGGAATGATTCAATAATATTGGTTTTTAAGCTAATACACTATATGAGGGGAGCTTGTAAAGAATACCAGCATTCTAGACATACTATTAAATAGCATTGGTAAAAAACAACTCCTTTGCTGCCTCGCTTCCATTTAATGCATGAGAGAACCTACCATGGTTAATCTTTTTTATTATAGTGAACAAAACATTTAAATTTAATGTATTTAATTTGATTGTGTCTCTTTAAAACACTTTTTTTTTATTTAAAAATATTTACCAATTAATAGTTTTAGTGTTTGTTTAATAAATAGTTATTCTTTCATCTATAAATTTTTTTTTTTTAATATTGTAAAAGAAGTACATGATAAGGCTACAATTTACTTAATATTTTTAAATTAGAATTTTTAAAAACTACCAATACAACAGCTTTCAATACAATAACAGGCAATACAACAACTGTTGATACAATAGCTGTCAACACTACAACTGTCAATGCAAGAACTGTCGATACAAAAACTGTCAAAAAATAAAAATAAATTAAAAAGTTTTTTGAATTCATTTTAAAACAATTTGTATAATGCTTTTTATTATAAAAACTGGTAATAAATAATTTTTTTTTTATGCAGCCTAATGAAAAGTGGGAAGAATCAAATTGTTCCATATGTCAATGTATAAGTAACGCTATTGTTTGTGGTCCAAAACCATGTCCTGAAATTACTTGCGAGGTTTTTAATTTATTTGTTTGATTTTTTTGTTTTTTTTATAAATAGTTGAATATTTTTTTCATTCATCAATAATAATGTTTTAAGCTTTATATTTTTAGATTATACTTTTAACAATATATTTATAATAATATTTAGGAATTCCAGGTTAACCATTTAGCTTTAACAAATGCAATTTATTCACAATTAAGAAATATTTTAGACTGATAAATACTTTTTTATGTTTTTCTTACAACTCAGAAATATATAAATCAGAAATAGTTGTAAATAAATAAATCAGAAATAGTTGTAAATAAAACTAAATTTAAAAAAAAAAACAAATATTTTTTCAAAATGTATGTTTTTTTTCTTATCAAATAAAAAGTGTTATTAAATACCTAATAAATATAAAATAACTTAGCTTAATAGTTCTGAAGCCAACTTTAAATTTTGTGGTGGATTTTAAAGACTTAAATACCTAATAAATATAAAATAACTTAGCTTAATAGTTCTGAAGCCAACTTTAAATTTTGTGGTGGATTTTAAAGAGGCTGATTCCATTAATAGTTGTAAAATATTAGAGTAATAAACATGTTGCCACCCTACTAACAACATTGTTAAAGGACCCTGGATAAAAATTTAACAAACCCAGCTCCAAAAAAATTATAAGATTTAGCAGGGGTTGATAGCCCAGGCTAGGAAAAAATTTATAATACTTTATTTATTATAAGTTTATGCATACATTTGCTATGTATTAAATACTGGTATATACATCAACCCTCAGAATTAGGAAAAATGAGGTCGGCAATAATTTGCCGACATCAATCTTTTTAAGGTCGGCATCAGGTCGGTAAAAATTATTTGATACAAAGATCTGACCATAAAACATAGAAACGAGGTCTGCAATTTTTTGCCAACCTCAAGCACTTTCAGGTCGGCATTGCCGAATGCCGACCCTAATTCCAAGGGGTGCATATATATACATATAAAAAGTAGTAATGGCATATATATATATAGAAACAAAAAAGTAAAAAGTAATGGCATATATATACATGCAAAAATTAGGTTCATCAGAAGTTCCAGGCTTCCTGATGAACCTACTGATGGTGAAAAAATTAGTAGAAAAGAAAAATTAGATAAGTGCTTTTACTAATTTATTATTGCTCTGTTCTTTAAGAACATTGAGCACTCTATTTGTAGAAAACACTAGCATAATTTATATATACATTCACTAGTTGCATGGTTGCAAGCAGCCACAATTAAGTTGTTACTTAAAAGAGAGAGTTACTTGAAAACAAAGGTTAGGGTTAAAGATGAAGAAAACAGTTAATTGAAGACTTGGTTGTATGATCAGGAAAATATGAAGATGGTGAGTTTTGAGGTATGCAAGGAGATAAACTTGATAAATAAAAATTTTGTAAGATGTAATGACATGTAATGACAATAACAGGATGCGACTTTGCTGAATGACAAGCCAAGGGAAAATGAGTTTTGGTTGATTGAATTAGAGATTATAGCTGGTTTGACCATGATGTTTATAGAAAAAAAAGTATTTTTAGAAGAAAAAAAAAAGAGATGCAACCTTAAAAAAATGGGAGAGTGACTCAAGCTCGGCAGATAAAGCAGTTCTAGCTAGGTTAACAATGTGCTTTTGTCTGAGAGTGAGAGAACATGCCCCAAGCTGTTACAGAAAAGAGATTGACTGCTTGTTCTAAGCAATCAAAAAGTGAAGACTCTTTGTCAAGACAAGAGTAAAGTTGAGTTGTTAGCAAATAGGGTCACTTTAGATGTAAATTTGTCAGGCAGATTGTTATTATAGAAAAGAAACAATACAGGAGCAAAAATAGAATCTTGTGGTATTTCCATGCATTACATATGGTGTGAATAAGCCTTATTTATAGAACAAAAATGCTCAAGATATTTTATATTAAAGAAATAGCATGAAAGGGGAAGACTAAAACTTTATGATAATGATGATGATGGTGTTGATGATAATGATTATAATCATCATCATCATGATCATCATCATCATCAAAATCATGATGATCATGAGCTTTAGTGAACAAGAATGCTTAATGAACAAGAATGCTTGAGATATTTTATATTAAAGAAACAGCATGAAAAGTTAAAGCTTAATGATAATAAATCATGATCATAATGATGATGATGATCATGATGAATCTCCTGACTATTCATTTATGTTTTTGCTTTGCACCACTTTTCTTTTTTTCCTTTCTCTTTTTTCTTTGTTATTTACCATCTTTTCAAGGCTGTTCTATATTAATGGATTTCTGATCAAATTGATTTTAATCACTTACTTTTAATCACTAAATCTTTTAATTTAGTTAAATAATGAGGTACAGATTAATTGTAATTAAATCAGTCTGGGTTTTTAAATGATGCCCTTTAAAGTTTATATAAAGTCACAGACAATTTGACTTTATATAAACATAGTTTTATATAAACATTGTTTAATCATTACAAGTTACAATTACTTTTATTTAAAATGCACTCTAAAAAAGTTTTAAACATTTTGAACTTACATTTGCTTTACAAGTTTTCCTGTCTGAGGTGTATCAGTGTAAATTAATTGAAGCATTTGATCTTTTTTTGCTGTAGATCCATGCTATTGATTCAATTATCTTTTATTTTATTTTGAGGACTAATCATCATCATGATCAATTATCTTTTATTTTATTTTGAGAGCTGGATAGTCCTTGAGTTTATGTCTTTCATCTTTTTTGCAAATGTGCTTCTTGTTATCTTTTGGATTTTTAATTTCTTGATTTAATAAACTTTTCCTATCATCCCTAAAATTCACTACTTCGCTAAGTCTTACTTAGACTGTGACGCAAATTTTGTCTGACCACAAGTTGTAGAAGAATAAAACTCGTTGTCAGGTAACATTCTTGTTACATTCTAGCAAAAGTGTAAGACAAATCGCTTTTCTGTACTCTTAAAACTATAAAGCAAGCGCTAAACTAAGTGTGGTTTTCAGCATTATCTGTCATTTCTTTTTCTTTTTTTTAATTTTTGGAGATCACTGATTCTGCCAACTGATATTGAATTAATTTTTTTCCTGTTAGTATTATTAATAGGGTCAAATTTTTAATCACAATTTTTAACATATCATTTTAAATCCAACATCTTACTTTCTGATAATTTTCAATCTTGTTTTACTGCTTGTTAGCAGTAATTGAGCAGTTTTACAACTCATTAAATATTAAAATATATATTTTTTAGAATAGGTACTTTGAAAAAAAAAATCTTAACATTCTTAAATATAGAAACAGACAAGTTAACTTAAACTCCTATTTTATGTCTTATCAGACTTTACTAAATACTAAATAAATTATTATAAATTATATAAAGCCAGCATTTACTATGGTTTATTGTGGTTTTTTACTTCTATAGTTTTATTATTTGTTCTTGTATGAAATACTTTTACTAACTACATATAAAATATATAAAGTCAGCACTGTAGTTTATTGTAGTTTTTTAACTTTTTTTAAAATTATTTATCCTTGTATGAAATATTGTCATCATTTAGGTTGGGTTTTTAATTGATGTCCTTTCTCTTTTAGATTCTATGAGTTATTTTAAACAGTTTTATAGAAAATTTGTTTTAATTTATTTATCTTGAATTCTAGTTCTCAACTTACTAGTAGTATTCTTAAATAAATTAAAGTGTTTTTTTATTTGTTAGCCTCCATTAATAAAGTCGCAAATACCAGGAGAATGTTGTCCTGTTTGTGAACAAAGTAAGAAATTTTTTTTTTCTAAGTAATTTAAGTAATTTTTAATGTTTTTTCTTTCTTTAATTTATGTCATTTTTATTGTTGCAGTTTCAACTACTTTGATCCCAACTACTCTGATTACAACTGGTATTTTTTTAATTTTTTTAAATTTAACAAGTATGTTCCAAGGTTTGAAAAGCTCACATTTTAGAAAAATGGTTTACTTGATGAAAATCTTACTTCACATGAAATTTAATGATTTATTTTTTTTATTGATTTTTTATTTTTCTGAAATGAATATACAAAACAGTATCATGCAATAAATCTAGACTTTGCTTTCAGAAAAATGTGATTGTTCTGTATTGGTTCCTCTGGGTCTTAGTGATGGCACAATAAGCGATCGCAATTTTTATGCTGACTCAGTTTTAAATAACAAACCCGGTCCATCTTTTACTGGAGCAAGTGAAGCCAGGCTTCATAACAAGCCATCAAAGAATGGTGAAGGAGCATGGGTTCCTAAAGATATAGAAAGTTGTCTTTCTATAAAATTTGATAAATTAGAAGCACTGAAAGAAATGCATACTCAAGGTCATCCAACAAAGAATTATTTTTCAAGACAATATTACATAGAATATAAAACTCATGAAGATGATCCTAAATACAAGAAATTTTACTTGGTCAGTATTTTTTAAATGTTGGTTTCTTAAATTTATGCACAAACTTTCAAAGTTTTAAAATATATGAAAAAATTGTATTAACTAATTTAAATGAAAACAATTGAAAAAAATTCGCAGCAAATGAAATAAAAATAAAAAAGTTTTTTTTTATTAAGAAAACTACAATTTTTACATTTCAGTTTCAAAAAGGCAAGAATTTTATGAAAAAATTTATTTTCATTTTAATCTTTATATGAAACATTTAGGATGGTGAAAATCTTATTGAAGGAAATGTTGATGAAAATACTGTCAAAAAAACAAAATTAAACATTAACGCTCGAGTTATCAAGATTTGTCCAGTAAATGAAGAATCTGATGATTGGCCAGCATTAAGAGTAGAATTCTACACATGTCCACCATGTGGATCAACATCTACTCAAAGTATGTAAAAAATGGCATTATTTTATATTAAAAAGGTTTTGTTATATTTTTATAATTTTTGTTTTTGTTCTTTTATAGTAATAACTGAAACAACTTCTACTCAAACTACACAACCTAATATAGGTAAATAAATTATCACAGATTATATAAATATGTAAAAAAACGGTATGAGGTATCGTTCATTTAATATAGAATTATATCTAAAAATAGTTTGTTCTGATAATCTTTTTTCTGTAACTGTATAACAATATATATATATATATATATATATATATATATATATATATATATATATATATATATATATATATATATATATATATATATATATATATATATATATATATATATATATATATATATATATATATATATATAATATTGTTATACAGTTACAGAAAAAAGATTATCAGAACAAACTATTTTTAGATATAATTCTGCATTAAATAAATAAAACCTCATACTGTTATATATTTTTTTAGCTCTCAACAAATTCTATTTAAGTGTACCATCAAACATTTACTACACTAGGTCTTTTTTTCATTAACATAAGTTTACCAATTTCTTCCTTGACTACTTTCCATAGGTTTTCAATAGAATTCAAGTCTGGACTTTGTGCTAGTCAATCTAACTCTTTAATATTTTTGCCTTAGATCCAGGCTTTAATATTTTTTGCCATATGTTTTGAATCACCATCTTGCTGGAATATGAATTCTCCATCGAACTTTCAAGCAGATGGTAGCATATGGTTTGAAAGTATTCTAACACACTTAGGGGGAGTCAATCTCCATAACATGAATATGCCCCACACCATTCCAACTGAAGCATCCATAGGCCATGACATACTTGTCATGCTTTATTGTCTGTTTAACATGCTTTTGTTGGATTAATTCACCTTTTTAATTGTTTCTCCATGTTCAATAATTCTCTATCTACCATTTCCAACATCATTAGTTATCCATGTCCGTTATCTACCATCCAACCATAATACCTTCTTCTAATCATCAACAGTCCAGGTTTGATAGTACTTTGCAAACGCAAGCCTCTTTGCAATATGCCATTTGGTAAGTAAACATTTTTTTGCAAGTGCACTACCATGTAAAGCAGCCTTTTTCTAACAGTTCGAAGACTTAAGTAGCTCAAGTTCTCTGAGTTGTTTTACAATATCTGTTGTATTTGGTCTCACAGAATTTTCAATCAAAGTTTTAATATCAATTCTTGGAGTTGTTTTTTTTTTCATCCAGATCTTTGCAAACATTTGAGTACTCCATTCTTTTTAATTTTCTTGAACAGTTAATTTGGGCATACCAAGGTGATGTGCTATTTCTCGAACCGTTTTACGTCTATTTAGCAACACTTCAGTCTCTTTCCTAGTGATTTCTGTCAATTCTTTACTTTTCATCATAGTAACTGTTGTCAAGGAATTCTAAATGTTACAAAAATAGAAATTATGATTTTTATGATTTTTACTTATATTATCCTAAGCTACTAAGAAACTTATAGGATCTTATAATACAATCATCACTAAAAATAAGCAGAAAGTAACTGCCCTAAAATGACTGTGAAACTTTTTTTCACAGTCATTTTAGTTTTTCTTACCAAAAGAGACATGTACCTAGTATAGTAAATGTTTGATGTTACACTTTAATTGACCTTGTTGATAGTTACAAAAATATCTATAACAGTTTCATTCATTTAATGTAGAGTTATATCTAAAAGTATCTGATATCCATAATACAGTTACAAAAAAAATATTTTTTTCTGTAACAAGTGCTTTTGTGCAGTACTCTTAAGTTGTTTTGTTAAAAATCTTTTGTTGTGTTATCTACATAAAAAACTTCATTGCTGTGTTATCTATATATAAAACTTGATTGCTGTGTTATCTACATAAAAAAACTTGATTGCTGTGTTATCTACATAAAAAAACTTGATTGCTGTGTAATCTACATAAAAAAACTTGATTGCTGTGTTATCTACATAAAAAAACTTGATTGCTGTGTTAACTACATAAAAAACTTGATTGCTGTGTTATCTACATAAAAAAACTTAATTGCTGTGTTATCTATATAAAAAAAACTTAATTGCTGTGTTATATACATAAAAAACAACAAAAACAATAATTAAAGTATTACATCTAAAACTATAATTAATGAGATTTTAATTTTTAAAGTAAATTGTTAATTTTCTAATTTTAGTAACTACAACAAAAGAAACAGAGCCTGTTACTGATACAACGACAGTTTCAATAACAACATCAACAACTTTTGAACCAACAACAACATCTGAACCAACAACAACATCTGAACCAACAACAACATCTGAACCAACAACAACATCTGAACCAACAACAACCTCTGAACCAACAACTACTTCTGAACCAACAACCACATCTGAACCAACAACCACATCTGAACCAACAACAACATCTGAACCAACAACAACGTCTGAACCAACAACAACATCTGAACCAACAACAACATCTGAACCAACAACAACATCCGAGCCAACAACAACATCTGAATCAACAACAACATCTGAATCAACAACAACATCTGAACCAACAACATCAATTACAAGTAATACTTTTGTTTTAATAGGAAAAAAAAGTATTATTTTATAATTTTTATAAAAGTTTCAAGTTTATTTCTGTACTAAAAAGTTATTAAAACTTATTTATTTTGTTCATAAGTAATATTGTTTATATAAATAATGTGATTTGTTCATAAATGATAATTTTCATAATATGATAATTTTGCAGCAACCGCTACACAACCTAAACATTCACCAACTACATCAATACATAATAGTGAGTTTTTGCTTTTCATGAACTTACATGAATATTTGATTATTTAGTACTATTACTTGATTATTATTTCATGAACTTAAATCATTCTTGATTATGGTTTAAAATAATGAAATTTGAATTTTAGTTACAACGACTACAACATCTTTTACAACAACAAAAGATCCTTTTGCAAAAACTACAAAAAGTATGTATCTTTCTGTTTTCATTCAAAAAATAGTTATGCTTTTGCAAAGAGAAAATATTTTTTTATTTTGTATAAAGGTTGTTTTGAATTTAGAATTAGTTTGGAGTCAACTAATTATTTTAAATAATTTTTGTCATAAAAAAAAAGAAAATTTTTTTTATATTTTCAGATACATTTAAATAAATAAACTCAATATTTTATAATTTGAAAATTAATTAAACAAAAAAGTTCTGTTTTTTTTTTTTGGTTGTTACATTAAATTAAAAATTTGTTAAGAAAATTTATTTTAAAGTTTTGATTTAATTATAAAACTTTTGTTCTTTACTTTTAGTTTAATTGATGCAATATTAATTTAGTTAAATCTTTTTATTTTTAGCTCCTTTAACATTTCCAAGTAAGTTAACTTATAAATTATAGTAATTTAAGCTAAAAAATTATAATATTAAAATTAAAAATAACTTTTTTAAATATTCTCATGTAAATTTTACTAAAATTTTTTTTTAGCTGTTACAACCACTGAAAAGCGTAAGGTTTTTGTGTACTCTGCTGAAATAGCATTTTTTTTAGTTACAAATTTTTTTATCATAATTGCTTTTTACTTCTCTATTTTAAATCTATTTTCAAATATGTAGCAAAATGTGATTGTTCTATATTGGATCCTATTGGTATTAGCGGTGAAAATTTGAGAGCAGATAATGTTTTTTCTGATAAACCTGGACCATCATACACTGGTGCAAGTGAAGCTAGATTAAATAACAAGCCATCAAAAAATGGTGAAGGTGCATGGGTTCCATTGGATAATGAAGGTTGTCTTTATGTAACATTTAATAAATTGGAGGAAATAAAGGAAATGCGAACTCAAGGCCATCCATCAAAAGGACTTTTTTCACGAAAATACACTATTAAATATAAATTGAATGATTCCAAAGATTCTCAATGGAAAAGTTTTCGGCTGGTATTTTTTACTTATATTAACGTAATGATGATAGTAATGATGGTGGTGGTGCTGCTGATGGTGGTCATAGTGGTACTGATGGTGGTCATAGTGGTGATGATGATAATAATGATGATGGTGATGATGATGATAATGATGATGATGATGATGATGATGATGATGATGATGATGATGATGATGATGATGATGATGATGATGATGATGATGATGATGATGATGATGATGATGATGATGATGATGATGATGATGATGATGATGATGATGATGATGATGATGATGATGATGATAAAAATTTTTAATTTTTAGAATTCTAAAAGTAAATTTGTTGAAGGAAATATTGATGGAAACACTGTGAAAACAACTAAGCTGAATATTAATGCTCGTGTTATTGAAATTTGTCCGATGAATGATCTATCACTTGGTGATCCTATTTTACCAGCATTAAGAGTAGAGTTTTATGTATGTCAACCTTGTGGATTAACAACAACTCAAAGTATGTAGTTTTAATAAAGTTAAAAAATTGTAGCTTGTGATAACATTTCAATTTTTAAAATTCTTTTCAATTATTTAATTAACTTATGGTTTTGTTTATGTTCTCTGTTTTTTTAAAATTTTTATAACAATAAATTTTATAATGGTAACCCTAAAAGTACAATGTTAATTAGCTCAATCAGATCCAATCACAAAGTAAATAATATAATTATAAATAATTCAAAACATTCAATACAAAAGTGTGATTCATGATAGCACAACACATATATAATACAGCCTGTTAAAGCTTATTATATCATTTTTTTGTATATCAGTATTTTGCAATAATGCATTTTAATGTGAACATTTTGTTTATTGTAGTATTAACTGAAACTACCATTACTCAAACAACTCAACCTGGAAAAGGTAAGTTTAGAATTTTATTAGTTTAGTAATAAAACTGTGACTGTGTATAAATACAGAAAGTTTAACTAACATGCTGAAACTACCATTTATAAAAATAAGTTGCTTTTTTATCATTCTTTTGTCAATACTTTTCAAAATTGTTTATGTACTGGTTTAAGTGAGTTGACTACTTTATCTGGTGATTCATTTTATGTGTTTTTGCCTCGATTAAGGATATATCTTCTAGACAAAAATAAGATAATTTCATTTAGAAGCACTTTTAGCAAATTCAACTCTTGATTGTTTATTTGCTCTAAGAATCTATATCCATTTAACGTAAGATCTATATTATCTGATTTATTGATTATTTTAAAATTGTTTATAAAGTTACCTTTTTAGCTGAGTTGAAAGTTGTTGAGTTTAAACTCATGAAATTTACTAGGTTTTAAAATATATTTTACTGAGTTTTTAACTTAGGTTTAACCATTTATTATTATATTATTTAGCACTTACATGTTAAATTCATAACTGAAACTCTGTGATAAACAACTAATTGTGTTAAATGTGACTATGCTGAATGTAGCTAGAATATGCTGAAAAAGTTTATCTAGTGATAAGTTATTAATGAGTTCCTCCTTAAAATGCTGCTAATAATAATCATGATATACAAAAACATTACTGTTTTTTCTGTTTTATGAAGTATATTGTTGCTTCACATTTATTTTATTTGCTGATTTATTTTTATATATATCTTGCTATGGTAAGAATTGCCATACATTTTTTATACATTAGTTTGTCTATTTTTTAATATAACATCCTTTCCAATATTCTTTTTTCTGGTATAATAAGCTTTATTTGAAAACTAGTTTTCTTGTCTCCTTGTTCTCTTCACAGACATTCACTACTTTTGTGTTCACTATTTTTTATAAATTTATTGCAAATCTTTGCAAAAGTTTATTACCTGTAAATTTAGTGTTGTATTTTGAACACATTTATGGTCATATAAGCACGACTGGTTTTTAAAGTAAGGTGTTAAAGGTAAATCCGTTATGGTTTATAATGGGAGTTTGGCTGAACTGGTTTGATGTAAGTTCAAAGATCTTTTGATTGTTAACATGTTATGCTGGTTACAAACAATACTTTATCTTATGGAATTCATAGTTTATATTTCTATATTATACCATTCAAGTTTATATTTTTGTATGTGTTGTGATTTTAAGCAAATGCATATTTAATAGAAACTTATTCAAATATTTAATATTAAAACTTATTCAAATGCAATTTAAAAATACAGTATATTTTTAATCATTCAAAATTATTTTTAGTTAGTACAGCAACAACAAAAGAGCCAGATACAACCACAGTCTCAACAACATCTAGCACAACAACATCTGAATCAACAATAACAACTGAAACCACATCAACTGAAACCACATCAACTGAAACTACAACATCTGAGTCTACAACTGAAACAACAACTTCTGAGTCAACAACATCCAAATCAACAACGTCTTCAACAGAATCAACTTCAACAACAGCATCTCCTGAATCAACTTCAACAACAGCATCTCCTGAATCAACTTCTACATTAACGACAGCAACAAAAAGTATACTTTTTTATTATGTAACACTATTTCTTTGAAAAATTAAGGATGTGGAGTTAAATGGAGAATACTTTTTTTTTAATTTGTTACTCAGCATTTTTTTCTTTCCAAATTTTTATAATAAATCGGTAATGAGTTAATAATAATAAGTTAATAAGTAAATTTATAAATCTGTTGCAATTTATTTTTTATTGAATAATATGTAATTAGTATATAGTGTTTTGCAAACACTAACTTATTTGAGAAATGTCTTTTTATTAGATTGTGTAGACTGCCATTGTCACATCATTTTTGTGTGTGTGTGAAACCTTCTTGCATTGGTGTTTACAAAATAAGTTACTCCATCTAAACTAGTTTGCTACTATATAAAAATAGCTAGTATATAAAAATAGTATATGAAAATGTATCTAAAGAAATGATTATTATGTTTTAATATATAAAAAATGACTCCTAATGTTTGTATAGTTTAAACTAATGTTTGCATTTAGTTCAAACTAATTTTTCTATTCCCATTATGAGTTCATACTGACTTGCACATACACTGATCATGTATATATAGACTTATGTATAAGTTGTTGTAAGTAATTTACTTACATAATGTACATATTCCAGTTTACTTTTATAATGGTTCATGCTGCTGTTAAGGTTGTTCATGCTACTGTTAGGTTTTTTTTTTGTACTAAATTGGTTGTAACAATTTTATTTTATTAAAAATATTTTTAGCTGAATGTGACTGCTCTGTGTTGTATCCAGTTGGTGTTAGTGATGGAACAATTCCCAAAGAAAATATGAAAGCTGATTCAGTGTTGGTTAATAAACCTGGACCGTTGTTTACTGGAGCAAGTGAAGCCAGACTTAATAACAAACCATCAGAAAATGGTGAAGGAGCATGGGTTCCTAAAGATATAGAAAGTTGTCTTTCCATTAAATTTAATAAATTAGAAGCACTGAAAGAAATGCATACTCAAGGTCATCCAACAAAGAATTATTTTTCAAGACATTATTACATAGAATATAAAACTCATGAAGATGATCCTAAATACAAGAAATTTTACTTGGTCAGTATTTTTTAAATGTTGGTTTCTTAAATTTATGCACAAGCTTTCAAAGTTTTAAAATATATGAAAAAATTGTAATAACTAATTTAAATGAAAACAATTGAAAAAAATTCGCAGCAAATGAAATAAAAATAAAAAAGTTTTTTTATTATTAAGAAAACTACAATTTTTACATTTCAGTTTCAAAAAAGCAAGAATTTATTTTTATTTCAATCTTTATATGAAACATTTAGGATGATGAAAATCTTATTGAAGGAAATGTTGATGAAAATACTGTCAAAAAAACAAAGTTAAACATTAACGCTCGAGTTATTAAGATTTGTCCAGTAAATGAAGAATCTGATGATTGGCCAGCATTAAGAGTAGAATTCTACACATGTCCACCATGTGGATCAACATCTACTCAAAGTATGTAAAAAATGGCATTATTTTATATTCAAAAGATTTTATTACATTTTCAATTTTTGTTTTTGTTCTTTTATAGTAATAACTGAAACAACTTCTACTCAAACTACACAACCTAATATAGGTAAATAAATTATATAAATCACACATATATATATATATATATATATATATATATATATATATATATATATATATATATATATATATATATATATATATATATATATATATATATATATATATCTGTGTGTATATTTGTGTGTATGTATTTATATATTTATGTAAGCAGAAAAGTTAAATTTGCATTAAATATTTCATCATTTGTTTAGTTTAACTACACCATTAAGTTTGAGTATTGTGTGAATTGTTTTAGTTACAACAAAAGAAACAGAGCCTGTGACTGATACAACTACACTTTCTGTTACTTCTAAAACTACATCAACAACTGAATCAACAACAACAGCTGAACCATCAACAACTTCTGAGACAACAACATCTGAACCAACAACAACATCTGAGCCAACAACAACATCTGAGCCGACAACAACGTCTGAGCCAACAACAACATCTGAACCAACAACAACATCTGAACCTACAACAACATCTCAACCAACAACAACATCTGAATCAACAACAACATCTAAGCCAACAACAACATCTGAACCAACAACAACATCTGAATCAACAACAACATCTGAACCAACAACAACATCTGAACCAACAACAACATCTGAATCAACAACAACATCTGAACCGACAACAACATCTGAACCTACAACAACATCTGAATCAACAACATCATCAACAGAGTCATCTTCAACAACTGTATCTACTCAAAGTAAATTTGATAATTTAAACTTTTTTTTTATTGCTGTAAATATATTTTATATAATTTTTTAAATATTTTGTTTGCATTATAATAAAATTTTAAAATATATTAAAATTTTAGCTGAATGTGACTGCTCTGTGCTGTATCCAGTGGGTGTTAGTGATGGAAGAATACATAAAGAAAAGATGAAAGCAGATTCAGTTTTAGTTGATAAACCTGGACCATCTTTTACAGGAGCTAGTGAGGCTAGACTTAATAACCACCCAACAGAACATGGGGAAGGAGCATGGGTTCCAAAAGATTCAGAAAGTTGTCTTTATATAACATTGGATAAAATAGAAGCTTTAAAAGAAATGCGAACTCAAGGTCATCCAACAAAGAAGCTTTATTCAAGAAAATTCATTGTTCAGTTTAAAGTCAAAGAATCTCAAGATTGGGAGGATCTAATTGTGGTAAGTTATAAGTGTAAAAGAAATTGCATAATATAAGTTTTAAAAAAGTTTATGTAAAATAGTTGTTAGTGAGTTATAAGAACAGAGTTGTTAGTGAGTTATAAAACATATATTATAAAATTTGTATAACTTTAAAATATGCCTAACAGAAAAAATACTCCATGCTATTTAAAAAAAATTAGTATAGATTAAACATGTTGGAATAGATATCCAGGCCTCGTTGGGAGTAAATGAGTGCAGGAGCAGAGAACAGCTCTCTTAAAATGAACATGGTGAGCCATACAAACTGCTCCTTTAAACAGCTTTTTACAAGAGATTTCGGTTTTTGCGTGAGATATCACTTTATTCTTTGAAAAAATTATTTTTTATACTCATTATGAGCAAATGCTTGTAATATTAATGTTACAAGAATATATACATCACAAGCATTGTTTATCACGCCACAAAAAAATTCTTTAGACAAGCGTTTTCTTTGGGTTTTCACTCTAGCTATCTATTTATTACCAACTTTATTCATACACTAGAGAATTTAACAGAGATTAAAGTTCTTACTGTTTAAAAAATATTTTATATTTACTTACTGTAATACAGGAAATTTAAGAATTTATTTTAAAAAACAACAATAAAAGATTCAACAATAAAAGTGTTTATATAATTACAATTTTTTATTAGCAGAGCATTTAATTGTGCAATATATTTTTTTATTTTGCTCAAATTGAGATAAATTTTTATAAAATTATATAATTTTTTAATAATTATAATTAATACATTAAATATATAATTCATTACATAATATAAAAATTATTGCATAATAACTTGGTGCATATATTTTCAATTAGGTGAGAGTGACCATGATACACTTTTGATTTTTGTTTTGTAACTACTTTTTTTAAATTTGATTAATGCAATTTGTAGATAAATACCTTCAAAATTAAATTCTTAAATTAACAAAATAAAAGAGGTCAAACTTGTCAAAGTCGAATTTTCTATCAAGGTACCCCACCCATGGGGTACCTTGATACACAATTTGATAATAACAAAACAGGATAATAAAAAAATTATAAAATGTTGAAAAACAACACAAAAAATTTATAGAAAAAAAAGAAACAACTTTTTCTAAAGACTCATAAATTTTTAAATTTAAGAATAGGAATCATGTTCATCACTTAATTAATCACTTTCCGAAACAAAATTTTTATTTTTATTTCTCTGATAAGATTTTTGTTTTTCAAAGTAAAAGGAAGATTGTTTATCTTCCTTTTACTTTGAGTTTTTGTTGGTGTATCTGTTGCCATTACACTGCTAGCTTTCTCACTAGGTTTTCTTTTATTTTTTTTCAGTGGCCTTCACAAATCTTTTAAACTAAGAAGGTCTTACGAAGTTAATAATTTCAGAATAACTGACTTGACTTGTACTTGGCTCGAAACTGACATAAGGCTTTGTAAGCTTTTCTGGTGAGAGTAACAAATTATTGGTATTCAGAGTTTCTCCAGTGTTTGTTTGATATGTATTTGGATTGTTTCTATCTGTTACAAGAATACATGAAAAATCTGCTTCATAAAAATACATTCTTGTCAAAAGTGAAAAATACTTTTCTTTAATCCACTTTGAATGTTTGTGATACACAAGTAAAACACAAGATTCATTTTCGTAAATAGTGATTGGCACTTCAGGGTGATTTAGAAGCCAAGGTTTTACTGTGTCATAATAATAAACTTTTAATGGAGCTAATACAGAAACATCTAAAGGGTGAACATTATGTCTACTATGTGGTGGTATAGTAAGAATAGTAACATCTGACTTTTAGCAAGATCAAGGGCTTTTATAGATAAGTGGCTGTCATGATTATCAAATATAAGCAGAGATAAATTGTTTTTTGACAAGAATGTTCTTGATATAAAATGTTGAACTACTTCTACAAATAACTCTGTATTCATCCATCCAGTTGGATTTGCAAGACCAAGAGATGGTGCATTATTAAGCAAATGTTGCTTAAACTTTTAAGTATATAAACTTAAACTCTTCAGAATATCATTGCAGGTGGAATGGTAGCACCTGAGGCACTTATAAAAAAACAACTTGTCACCAAAGTTCCATGTTCTCCATTTGTTACAGAGTTAACTTGCTTGATGCCTTTTTAAGTAATGATTTTATAACATTTTTGTACAGTGGTAGTGGCTCATCAAGATTCCAAATGCAAAATCAATCACCAATTTTTAATTCTCTTAAATACAATGCCTCTAAATTTAAAAACTTTTGTACAATGTAATTATTGAAAGATATCATTCTTGACAAAGAACATCCTTCTGGCATTCGAATGCTTAAAAATTTCCGCTTATAACCAAGCACATCCATTCAACTTATTTTCTCTTTAATCCAGTTACTGGGAACTTTTAAATTATTTATTATATATCAAAAGCATTTTAAATTAAATATATTGAATTTATAACATTTGAGAGCAGGTATCAATATACTGCTTCAATAGATTTTATTGCTATTCCGTAATACTCTTTTTGTAGAAAAATTGGGTTTCATAGTAATGATTTATCCTTTTTTTCTTGCTTTTTTTCTTTTAACATATCTGTATACATAAAAATACACATTTTGAATTTGCTTTTAGTTACAAACTTATATAAGTTTCATTTACTAAGTAGGACAAATACTTATTGGTGCAGAATACATGAGCATAAATTACCTACAAAGGACCCTGTAATTAAAATTCATTTTTTCTGCAGCATTTGATGAACACCCTCTTGTTAAATGTTAAATGAACACCCTCCTATTAAAACTAAATCAACAGCTACCTCCATTAAACTACTCAAGAAGGTTTCTTTACTAGTTTTTCTTACACTCTAATCTAAAAATATTAAAGCAATAACAAGCTTTACAATGTATAAAAATTCAATTCATGGTCATATTATGATTTGATACCACGCTTAGCTTTAATTTGCATCAATAGATTTTAAATAATAATAGAAATCAGTATAAAATCATAAAATAAATGAATGTTAATCCTTCAACAAAAAAGTGTTATTTATTATAATGTTATTTGTTATATAAACTCGTGTATGTTTATGAATTAATTTTATTAATTTTATAAGTAACTCATCATGCTACATGCATAAATACTGAATAACATAACATTTATTTTTACTATATAAGTCAATATTTCCTGCCGGAAATTGATTATAGTATGCTTGACTATTGAGTAATTTACAAAACGGTACATATATTTAGTTTCACGGTGCCCCATTAAAACTGTTTCATGGTATCCCATACATTCTGATAAAATAAGAATACTGGCTTTTATTTTTCAAAAAATTATTTTATTAAATGTCTTTGCCACACTGAAGAGCTCATGAATATAGTTTACAAAATAGCAGCACTTTCTAAAGAATATTGCTGTATAATTGCTTTGTTTCATGGTGCCCTATGTGTCATGGTGCCCCACTCTTCCCTATATATATATATATATATATATATATATATATATATATATATATATATATATATATATATATATATATATATATATATATATATATATATATATATATATATATTAATGTTTTATTATTATAAACTAAATTTTATGCAATAGCTTCAATAGGAAGACAAAGAATAAGAAAAAGATTTATAACAGAATACCATCAATTTAATTTTTCATAATGGTATTTTTATAAAAAAATGATTTTTTATTTAAAAAAAGAATCAATCTTATTTAATTGAAAACGTTTGCAAATTTTTTTTTCTTAGTTGTTTTCTTAGTTTTCTTAGTTTTTTGTAGTTTGCAGAAGAATTTTTATATATATTTTTAAATATTTTGATAATATCTAAAAATAGAGGAAAAAATAGATGTTTATGTTTGTGAAAAAATTATACTTTTGTGAGAGCTGTTAATTCCTCTCATAAATCACTTTAGGAGAGTGTGGTCAAGCATTAAAGCTCTTGCTTCCCTCCAAGGCCTGAATATTTATGTATTTACAGAAGATGAATGTTTTTGCTACTTAATATGTTCTTAATAGTAAAATAAGTAGATATTTTACTATTAATAAATAATAAATTCCTCCATCCCCTCATACTTTCAAAATCACCTATTAAATTAAAACTAAAAAAAGTCTTATTATTTTTTAGCTGATTTAATGCAAAATTAAAATAAATATTAGTTCAAATTACAATTTTTACCTTTTTTTTTATTTAATCTTCACCATGTTTTATACTACTACATTCTGCAATTGAAAATTAAAAGAAATTTTGAGCTAATACTCATATCAGCTTAACAGAGAGATGAAAATAATGAGGCATGCTTTATCTATAAATAAGTCAAGTCACTCATAATTTAAAACATGCCCAAAGTATCAAAAAATATTAAAAACAAAACACCATCACCACCACCCAATTGTTTCAATATATCTTTCAAAAATATTCATGGTCTTTGAAGAAACTTTCCGTCAGTTGAGTTTTACCTCTTGCAAAATTCACCTGGCTTGATTGTTCTTTGTGAGATAATTTAAATTTGATTGCTCCTTCTTTGGATCTCAGTATTGATGGCTAATATGTTTTGATTCACAAAGACTCCAATAGTCACATATTTGGTTTGGGTGTTTACTTATGCAACAGTTCACCTCTTTGTCGAGAAATTAGGTTTGAATCCTCTGACGATTATTTTATGTGCTTCCACTTGGCACCTCTTCACTCTATCACCTTTCTTTTTGTTCTTTATTTTTCTCCTTTTTCTCAACACTACATTCTTTTAGATGTAATATCTGATCAAATTGACCAAGCTCTTTCTCTTTATCCCAATATTTTTATTATTGGTGACTTTAATGCTTGTCACACTGAAGGGTTTAGCTCTAACACCAATAACCCTGCTTCCTTTAAAGATCATAAATTCTGTATTTCTTAATCTCTTCCTCAAATAGTTAATTTTTAGACTCGTTTCCTGACAATCCTAATCACTTACCTTCACTCCTAGATTTATGTCTTGTCCCTGTCCCCAACTTATGTTCAGTTTCTCCTTGTTCTCCTTTAGGTGGTTCTGACAATGCGATAATCTTTTAACTTGTGCTACTTCTTTAGACTTACCTTATCATCGCACTACTTACTACTACCCTAAAGCTGACTGGGATTTTTTTTGTAATAGTCCTTGGAATGATGTCCTTTGTATCTCTGCTGATAAATGCGCCTCCTATGTAACCACCTGGATCCAGGTGTTTCTAATCCAGGTGGACCCAAGTCAACCCTTGTTCTACTCCATGGTTTTCACCATCTTCTGCAGCTGCTATATCTAATTGTAATCATTTTTTCATTTTTTTTTTACAGAAGCAGCTCTCTTGAGAACAAACACCTTTTTATTATTGCAAGAAATCAATGTAAAAAGGTGCTGCCTAATGCTAATGGGAATAATGAATAAAGTTTCATTATTCCCAGTTTACTAAATTTTATCTTAGAGGTTTGCTTGAGAGATTCTTGGAAAATCTACAAAAGTGGTGTTATCAAAGGTAAGTAAACCATGGGTCAAACAATGGTATGATCTATTACCTCTCCCAAGGATAAGACAGAGCTATTTGCAAAGAACTTTTCCTCTATTTTGGCTCTTGAATTTTATGGCTATACTCTTCCTGCCATTCCAGTTAAATAGGTTAACCCATTGTTAAACATCCAAATCACTTTAAATTTTAAGAACGGAGAAGACTCTAACCCCTCCAACTATCTTCTGATCAGTCTTCCCTTTATTATTAGAAAGGTCTTTGAGTTTTAAATCTACAAATTTCTAGCATCTTGAGTTTAATAACTTACTCTCTGACAATCACTACAGTTTTCAATCTTCTTGTCTATGGCTGACTTGTTAACTGCCATAATTGAAAGTTTCTATTGTGCATTAGATAGAGGCAGCAAGGCAAGATCTATTGTCTTAGAGATATCAAAGCTTTTGATTGTCTACTCACAACTCAATTTTATACTCTTGTCTTTGTTGTTTGTAGTCTTTCTGGGAGTGAGTTACTAAAATTAGTAAAAAAAGGTTTTATTTCAAGGTGAAGTTTTAGTGAAGTTTCTTTGTATAAAATGTAGGTGTTTATTATTATTTTATTATTATTATAATTGTTGTTGTTGTTGTTTGTTGTTGTTGTTCATATTATTATTATTGTTATTATTATTATTATTATTATTATTATTATTATTATTATTATTATTATTATTATTATTATTATTATTGCTATTATTATTATTATTATTATTATTATTATTATTATTATTATTATTATTATTATTACCACTTTTTTATTATTTTGACAAAATACAAATAGGTTAATGTTTTATAAGTATAAACAAATTTCAGAGTTTTTGAATTTTTTTTATGGAAAGAAAAATCAAATAAAAATAAAACCAACTTATGCGGAAAAATCAAATAAAAGTAAAAATCATATAGATGTTTCTAAAAAAATTCATCTATGGAAAATGTTGTAGAACAAAACCATTTTGTAGACCAAAACTGATTTTAAGGTGAAATAGAGTAGTAGAATTTTAAACCAAAATATTAAAATAGTGAAATTAATTTCAATTTTGAACAATTTTATGAATTAATTTTAATATGAATATATTTAAAATAAGTTTTGTTGTTGCATCATGTGATGCATATTATGCTTGCAAATTTTTCAGATTTTGAAATTTTATTTGTAGAGTAGTCAAAAACTTCTTGATGGCAATATCGATCACAAGAGTATCAAAGTTACAAAATTGAACATTGTTGCCAAATTTATAAAAATTTGTCCAACAAATAACCCTGCTAATGATGAACCTCTTCCAGCATTAAGAGTTGAATTTTACACATGTCCACCATGTTCAACAACTACAAGTTCCTCTACAACTACAGTGATATTTACTGAAACCACAACCATTCCTACAACTGAAGAACATAAAGGTAAAAGTTTTCATTATATTTTTCCAAATTTTTAATTGCACAATAGTTAAATAGTGTTTCTAAAGTAAATTGTTTGATTTTTTACTTTTTTTAACCACAAAATATTTTTTACTTTTACTCTGTCATTGTTTCTTTACATTTTAATCATGTTGCTAACACCTTATTTCTTCAGATTTTTTATGTTATCTATGTTGCAAGCACCTTATTTATGTTGTGAATGATTTAATGGCCTTTGTGAATTTATATAAAAAGTTACTTTTTTAAGAAAAAGTACTCCAAGAAGGCAAAAAGACTCCAAATGGTCTTCTTGGAGCACCTTTCAAATTTAAGTTAACAACTTTAGTAAATAATAATAACAATGAAGTTGATCAGATCTTATAGTTTTGTTACAATTAAAATTTTTTTAGTTATTTAAACTATAAAGTCAATGCGTAAAAAATATTTAGCTGTAACACCCTAAGTCCAACACCCAAACACCCAGATTTCTATAAAGAAGTCATTTTATTAGGTATTTCTAGGATTAGTTCCTTAGAGTATCCATTTTAGACCCATTTTTAAGAGATGGATATTTTTTTTTGTCTTTTTTTTTCTAGTTTCTAAAATATAGTATTGTGCATGGATAGCATGTTTGCATTTTTTTTAATGCTATTTTTATGCATTAGGTTTCGTTGGTTACACCTAAGACCTAATAGTCTTGTTGCATGCCAAAAGAGTATTATTTAATGAAGAAGTTTTATTGCCAACTTTATTTTTTTTTATTGCTGCTGAATTGTTGCAGTGAATGATTGATTTAATTTTCTTGCATTAAATGATGAGCCTTGATTTTGCTGCATTGATGTTGTTTATCATAAATTATTTAGCAAAATGGTGTCATTTAAGCTCTCTTGACTACATCCTTGTTTTTTTTTTAAATTTATAATTTTTCTGATAGCATTTGTATAGTTTTTTGTCTGACAAAATTTTCTTAAAACATCTTGTTTATAATCAATGGCTTTTTTGGTATTGGTAGAATTGATAATTACAAAAATTGCTAAAGCAATTTTTATTATGTAAATATTAATTTAAAAGTTAGTTTGTAAAAAATGTCACTATGAAAAATAAAGATTTAGTAAAGTTATGTATGAATGTATAAATCATTTAGTTTGGTTTAAGTAATTTCATAACTCTATGGCATTGTTATATGTTTATGATTTCTTATGAAACAAAACTAAACAAAATAGAAATTTTGTATAATAAAATAGTTTAATATTTTATAAATAAGAATTGTATTTGAATGTATTTAGATTTAAAAATAAATTTTTAAAATTTAAAAATATAATTAAAAATAATTTGCCAATTGGTTGCACTAAATTAACCATGTAACATTTTATACTAGTGATAATAACAATATTATTTTTTAAACTTTGAAAGATATTCTGCAATAATTTTAGGTTGTCCCAGTGAACAGAAGCGAGGTAACTGTAGCACATTATTTGAGTGTGATGGATATGACACTTGTAACATCAAAATACTTGTTAATGAATGTTGCTGTCCTGATGGAATGTACAGAATTGGTGATAAATGTGTTGAGAAAGGACATTGCCCTTGCATAAACAATGGAGAGATAATGGTAACTTTACTATTAAACTGTAAATTTGCTATTTTTGAATTTATTTTATGTTTGTATTTTATTTTAACTTTTAATTGTCAGGGCGATAACTTGTGGTATCAAAATGAGTATGAAATATGTCGATGTAATCAAGGTAAAAAACAGTGTGAAGAGCACTGTCCAAGCAATCCAAGTTGCAAAAAGGTATTGCTGTTTTTTTTAAATATTAAAAAAAAAAAATTTAATTTTAAAACGTATTTATTTTAAAAAAAGATTTTTAATTTAAAAATGTTTTAAAATAAGTTTCAATATTAATAAAATCTTTAAATAAGTTTCAACATTAATAAAATCTAAGATTAATAAATAAAAATAAGAACAAAGAAAAACTTTTTCATTTGTCTTATGTTGTGTATTACAACTGTTTTTCAAAGTAAGTAACTTATGTATTACAACCGTTTTTCTAAGTAAGCAACTTTACAACAATGAAAAATGGTTGCTCAGAGATAAAGGTTTAGAAAGATTGTTCAACAAATTTTGTTGAATAATCTTTCTAAACCTTTATTCCAACAATTTTTAACAGCAAAACAAAATCAGTTGCACCTTCAGTTGAATTCAATCAAAGAATGTAATGTACTACACATTACTATATATCAGATTTTTAAAAGGCAGTGGAGTTACTAGCAAAATAAAAAAGTAAAAAAAGTAACCAATAAAGTTGAAGAACAAAAATATTGATACCAAGATGAACATATGGTTTCTTTAACTGACATTTATACAATTGTGGCAAGCTGTACTGGATAAATGGCAAAGGAGGTTGGGTTGGGGAAAAACAATTTGCATTATGGTATTAATTAGTCTGTATAGTTTTATTGAGTCAATAAAATAGTTTTTTTGTTGACAATTTATTTGAACAAAGTCACTGAACAAGACTTTGAACAAAACAACTTTATGCAATTATTAAAGTATTTTTTTATGCAATTATTAAAGTATTTTTTTAATTATTGCATTAAAGTTAAGTCATAAATTAGCCATATTTAGTTTTTTTAAATTATGGTGATGGTATGTCACAAAATTTTGATTTACGTATTAAAATTTTGATTTGTAGTTATTGATATGTTTACTATTGATATGGTTGTTTATTGATATGGTTGTTGATATGATTGCCTTTTATTAATAACAGACAATCATATCAACAATTTTTTTAAACATATATTCCTGAGTTTTTTTGAAAATGGATTGCTGATATGTTTTTAACTTAAGTTAACATTTAAAAAAATGAAAAATTTTTCTTAAGTATATTTCTGTAATTTCTCATTTTGATAATTAAATTTTAAGGTGTTTTTTTTTTTTTTTTTTTTTTTTTTTTTGTTTTTCCTCATTTATGATTATTTTTTGATTAGCATGAAAAGGTTATTTTCTCTCGACCTTCTGTGGATGGAACATGTTGCAAATGTGTTCGTAATTGTCAATGTAAGTTTTAATAGTTTACATATAAAACTTTTTTTTTCAACTAAAAAGTAACAAAATACTTAATAACTATATTTTAGATTGTAAACAACCAATCAGTCAAGAGTTTGTTAATGTAAGTTACTTCAACATAATAGGTTACATAAGTTTATCCTTATTTACCTAAATAAACGGATTACATAAGTTTTATTTTTAACAAAAGTTTTATTTTTAACATAAATTACCTTAGTTTAATTCGTTTTAGGTTATTATTTTTTTCTACTTTTTGTTCCTACACAGGTCGGAACCAAGTGGTTAGCTTCATTTGAAAATGATAAATGTGTTGTTGGAGAGTGTGTTTTAGATGATGATGAGGAATGTGCTATCATTAACACAAGTACTGAAAAGTGTACTGTGCCATGCTCTGATGTAATTATTTTCCTAATTTCTTAGAAATGACATGATGATTCAAGTTTATTACAATGTTATAATTTTTTAAAGGGTTTCAAAAGAGTTGGAAACATAACAAATTGCTGTGATTGTGGTAATTAATTTTATCAAAATTTTACTTTTTGCAAGTTTTACTTGTATGCAAAAGATATTTGATATATTTTATGATTAATATATTTAAGTAAAGTATGCTGCATAGATTTACATTTCTTTAGTTTGTGTGCCATCTACTTGTAAAGAAAGGGAAGAAACTTGCTTACCGGTAATTTAATTTGAAATATAAAAAAAAAATTTAAGTATCAATAATTTTTTTTTTTTAACTCAAAATATATTATGAAAGTGATTAGTAATATTCCCATTTGAAACACAAAAATTGGTTGAAAAATAATAATTCACACAAATAAATTTAAAATAAAAGTTATCAAATATTTGTTGTATAATAAACCCATTAACTTCAAGCAACGGTATTTTTTAAACTTGTAATGATCTTATTGTTTGACCTAGTAACAATCTTATTGTTTGACCTAGTAACAATCTTTTTCTTTGACCTAGTAACAATCTTATTGTTTGACCTAGTAACAATCTTTTTCTTTGACCTAGTAACAATCTTGTTGTTTGACCTAGTAACAATCTTTTTGTTTAACCTAGTAACTATCTTTTTGTTTAACCTAGTAACAATCTTATTGTTTGACCTAGTAACAATCTTTTTGTTTGACCTAGTAACAATCTTATTGTTTGACCTAGTAACAATCTTTTTGTTTGACCTAGTAACAATCTTATTGTTTGACCTAGTAACAATCTTTTTCTTTGACCTAGTAACAATCTTGTTGTTTGATAACAATCTTATTGATTGACCTTTAGACTTTTATCCAGCATATTTTGATGTAATGAATCATCAAATAAAATTTATTTTGTTTTCTGTATTAGTTTAATGCAGTTTAAAACGATTGGTTGGTTGTTTGTACACAAAGAGAGATTGTTTGTACTCAAAGAGAAAATTTCAATTGCGCTAGCAACAGATTTTTAATTTTGTTCTCTCATCAATGACTTTTATAATTTTCCTCAAATTTGATGACATGAAACTATTAAACTATTGAAAAGGCTTTATGTTATTTTTAATCTGTACTAACAATTTTTTCATAAAAAAAAAAATATGAACTTTAGAAATATCTCCTCAACAAGCTTGAAGTGCTTCTAAGATAAAATTACTTAATCAAATTTTAAATTTTTTAAAAAGTGTTATAAATGTTATAAAAACTGATACGAATTAAGTATTTAATTTTGCGAGCTTAAATTTTTTTTTGAGCTTTTGTCAAACTAATTTTTTTAAGAATTGAATATAAGTGAACTAAGAATTATGTTCTATAAATTGTGACTAAGAATTATGTTCTAAGAATTTTGTCCTTTTTTTATATATTCAAAAAATCATATAAATCTTTACTAATTCAAAAAAAAAATAACAAACTTAACTTTTATTTTACATTATAAGGTTCAATATCATAATTTTCATAATCCCAGTTACTAATTATTTAAAAAATGAAATAATCTTGTTATAATGGTAACGTTTCTTTTATGATTTTATTTTGTTAGGATGAACGCTTCATTCGTTTGGATGACCAATGCTGTGGTTTTTGTGAAAAAATACCAACTACTACTTCATCAACCACTACCTTGACTGAATCAACAACAACTACTACTACTGAAACGACAACTACAACTGAACCTACAACTACAACTGAAGTAACAACAACTACTACAACTGAACCGGTAACTACTACTGAACTTTCAACTACTTCAACAATTGAATCGTCAACTACAACTGAATCGCCGACTACTACAACTACTACAACAACGACTTCTGTACCATCTACTAGTTCAACTGTTGAATTAACTACTACTTTACCTCCCACCACGTCAACAGAGAAAACTACGTTAACAACAACATCTATTACAACACCAAAAGTATCAACAATTACAACAACAGGTATTTTGAATTTATGTGGATATGTCCTCATTACTTTATACACATGTACTGCTTTTTTATTGCATTACGCATGTAATATATATTTTATTTTTATTAGCATCTACAACTCCGTTTCCTAAAACACCTTGCAATGTTACTTATACTAAACAAAAAATAAAGTATGGATTTTGCACGTCTGTTTCAAAAGTAAAGATAGGCTCATGTTCCGGTTATTGCGAATCTTCTGCCAATTTTTTAATGTACTCACCTTACTACGAACAAGCTTGTAGATGTTGTAAACCTGTTAGCTTTAATACTATTGATGTAGAAATGAAATGTCTAAAGACTGGTTCATCTACTCAAAAGATATCAATCATAACACATTGTGTCTGCAGTGAATGTCATGATAGCGGAGTAAGCACTTTAGCCCCAAAAACGACCCAACCAACATCCGGATCAGGAGAAGGAAGCGGGTCGGGTGAAGGAAGTGGTTCGGGTGAAGGATATGATGGCAAGTCTGAAAAAATAAAGGTACAAAATCATCGTTTATTGCCAAGCGTAAATAGTGCACGAAGAAAAAGAAGATCTTTATCAGAGATGTTTTACAAAATGTTTATAGGGGAGAGTAATTAACATTTATTTTGTTAAAAACACTTTTGATTCGTGTTTTGTAACAAATATTTTGATATTGTAATAATTATCTAGAAATATTTCTAATACGATGTTGCAATTCAGGAAAAGGTATTTTTTATTTACTTCCGTATTTGTACGCGTATGTTTATCTGTGTATACGACGGCTATTCTACGTTGACACGGCGTGACATTTAACTTTTTTTTTTTTTTTGGGGGGGGGGGGGGACATCAGATTTTAGCGCATTTAAAATTAAAAATTAAAGATACTAAAAAATTTTCATATACATTACACTTTCTAAAAACAAAATTATTTATTTGTAATATTTTTATGTCTTGGATACTTAAAAGGTGTTATAATAGTTTCATAACATTTTTTAAATGTTTTATAAATTTAAATGGAGACACCACATAGATATATCAACGGAGTTTACGTCACACTGTGACGTCACGGTGTGACCAGTACAAAATCTTTGACTATTAAGAAAATAACATCATGAAAAAGACAAGAAACCAATTTATTCGGATTTCTATAAGATTGGTATAACAATAACGTTTATTAAAACAGTTTATTTACAATAATTTCAAAAAAAAGTCTTGTAAAATTCAACTACGTTTTTTTATTAAATTTTATCTAGTTTAACTAAGTATGATTTACTTAAATAAGATTTTATTTCCATTTTATCATTAAACTGTTTAAAGCAATGGGTACTAAATATTCCAGGCGTTTTACAACCATTATTAATGATGTTTCCAAGTTCTGTGCCATCAAAAGCAGTTTTAGTTTTTTCAGCAACAACCATGAAAACGTTAACTTGACTTAATCTCTGACGGCTTTATAAAATGCTGTTGCGTCATTAATTAGAGTTTCTCTTCGAACAATTTAGTTAGGAAAGTTTACAGCATATTCGAAAGACCTAGTTTTTTTAAAAAAATTATACCATTTACAAATTTAAGTAATTTAAAAATAAAACACTAATGCCTCCTTTAAATATATTTAAATTTTTAATCAGTAAAGAAATCTTTATAAAAAAATACTTTATAGAATTATAGCAGATTGTCCTGCAAAAGTCAGAGAATTTAATAAACTATGCAAAAGTCAAAGATTTTTGATTGATTTCTTCGGAAAATCAGATAATTTTTATAAGAATCAGGGAAAATTCATGAAAAATAAACATGAAAGTTTGTTGACCACCCTGTTAATATACATTTACATTAATTAACTAAACTCATATTAGGACAATCAAAGATATTATTACTACCATGGTATTATCTAATAAATTGATGGTGTAAAGGCCAAGTGGACAAACCCTTTAATTTTCGGTCGGTTTTTATTATTATTGTGTTTCTGTATTAATAAGACTTTATTCACATATATAGAACCGATGTTGTTGATGGGTTAGTTCACTTGATTATAAATAAAACATTGCCTTATTAATGCAGAAACACCATAATAATAAAAACAGACCGAAAATTCAAAGGTTAATCTACTTGGCCTTTACACCATCCAAATAAATAATATGAAACATTTTATACATCAAATACCTCCATTCACATATATGAACATTAGAAACCTCTCTAGATTACTTTGCCTCTAGATAATTATATTTTTATGTAAAAGCTGTGATTTTTAATAAAAGCATCTTTAATATTGAATCCTCTATATAATGAATTAATTTAGTAGTAAATTAAAACTCAATGAACCTGGTATAGAAGACTTTATTCAGCAAATTGATGAATATTGTCACCTAAAGATACAGTCAAATTATTTTACATAAAAGTAACATAAAAGAAACGATAGTTATCGAATAACAGTAGTAACGTAAAGATGAAATTTTTTCACGGAATAAAAACTTCAGTACAATCATCAACACAAACAGCCTTTAAACTTTTTTTTAAAAAAAATTATTTTATTCGTCTGATGTTAGATTTTGTTCATGTAAAGCTTTTTTTTTCAAGTTCAATAATTCAACTATGTTTTGTGCAGTAAAAAGTTTAAAATTCTGCTAATATTTTGTTGATAATATTTAGAAATAGTAACTTATTATTAAGTGGTTTGGTGTCATAATGTATTTAGAAACAGTAGACTTATTATTAAGTGGTTTGGTGTCATAATGTATTTAGAAATAGTAACTTATTATTAAGTGGTTTGGTGTCATAATGTATTTAGAAATAGTAACTTATTATTAAGTGGTTTAGTGTCATAATGTATTTAGAAATAGTAACTTATTATTAAGTGGTTTGGTGTCATAATGTATTTAGAAATAGTAACTTTTATGTTTTCTTAGTATAGCTATCAAGATCTATATCATAGATAATCGTATTGATAGTAAAATGATTGTTGTTGTTTACATAAAGTTTCATGGGATACTTTTCTCTTCGCTTTTTTAGATTGAACTTGAAATTGGAATTATGAAATCAGTTAGGTTAATCCATTAGCTTTGATTCAGTTTCTTTATCTTCTACTTTTAAAAATTGATTTTCCAAAATATACTTTATAAACTTTAAATCCACATTAGTTTTCACATCTCTTTGAGTACTAGCTACACAACAACAAGCCATCATATTATATACCAATTTAAAGGTTTTCAGGTTAACAGTTATGTTTTGAACAAATAATGATAATTTAATTAACATTTTAAAATTGGTTTCCAAAATAATTTTTTTTGATAAGTTCAAAAGTTTGCGGATGAGTTCAAACGTTTGCTTTAGCTTTTAACATTTTCCCGACAAAATTGCTAATTTGTTGATTTTATAAACAAATACTTTATGGAAATAAATTACAAACTTTATTTACAGGGTTTTGCATCCATTTAAAACAAATATGACACCCATTTAAAGCAGCCATGATTTAAAACAACCATAACGTTCATTTAAAAAATTCATGATAATCAATGAAAACAATCATGATTTTCAATTAAAACAAATTGAAAGATATCAATCAGCTTCTGTTAGTATCTACTTAAAAATACATAGAAGTATGTTAACTTATGATTAAAAATTTTTTCTCTGAGAATTGCCAAACTTACTTAAAATTGGTTTAATTTCATAAACAACAAGATAATTTTTTGCATCTTCAGGTTTTGATGTTTTGGTTTTAATTAATATTATGCAACATTGTAAAGTGTCGATTTTGTAAGCTCAGTGTAGTTAAGGCGATTTTAAAATATTATATCGTCTGTATAATATTTTGCCGATTATGACATATATTCGTTAAATAATCATGTCTGTGAATTATGAAAAAGTGAAAAAAAAAATAAAAATGATAAATTTTACCATAACATAAAATAAAAATGTTTGTAGTGAAAAAACGCAGACCGAACATTTATTTTTTTTTCAACTTAAAATCACGATTGCTTGTCCAAACTTAAATGAGATTTTAAATAAATACATTTTTTAGGTAAAATGAACATCGTAGTTTGACAATATGATCTTATTGGCAATTTTCTTTATTATAAACTCTTTCTTGGTCGGAAATCTAATATATTATGTAAAAATTGATAGAAATGATGTGTTTTGTCAATTATATTTAATTAATATGTACTAGAACAGAGCTCGGATCTGAAGTAAATAAGGCACTTTTCAAAAAATTAAAATTAAGTTAACGCTGTTGAGTGGAATTGATCTAAAGACTCAAAAATTTCTTTAGATTCACAATTAGGTGTAATAAAAAGTTTTGAAAGTTATATAAAAAAGAGAAAAGTTTTTTTAAACATAAAAAATTGAAGCAAAAAAAATTATAACATCTAAAGCTCTTGTTTGGAGATCATGTGCTGAAAAAATCACGCTAATTCCAAATAAAAGAATTCAAATAATTTGTAAATCGCTACACTGAGAGCGACGGTTTTTAGATCTGTTGACATTCGATGTATATATGATGGGGTTTTTTTTTTGTAATTACTCTTTCAATTTAGGGTTTGCTTTGTTTGATTCCATTTTATGTAGTTGTGAAAAATTCATCAGGTGTAAGACATTTCGTCAACTTTTACTTGATTCTTCGCCCATGGGGTGACTTGAGCATTCCTATCAATGTTACCCGAAAACTGAAATATGCGTTTAAAAAGAAAATGCTACAAAAAATTTTTAAATGCTTAGTATTTAGAAACAGCATCATAAAATTCCATCATAAAAACACATGAAAAAATAATATTATGTATGGTTTTGCTTTTGAGCAACAAAAAAATAAATATGCCCACCTTACTGAGTTGTTATTTCAAAAATTTCAAAAAATGTTGATATACTGCATAGAGCTAAACAGTTTTTAAGCCAATCTTGTTTGAAATACATATACTTTTTATTTATAAATTGTTACCTAAACTATGCAAATATTGCTTAGTGCAGCACCAACCCAGTGGGCATTTTGACGTCGAACGAACGTCGAGCGACGTCGGATCTCGACGTCGGATCGACGTTGGGTTTACGTTGGAAATGGAAATGTTATTTGACGTCGGATAAACTGACATCGCGCGACGTCGGCATTCCGATGTAAATCCAACGTGTTTTTTGAAAACTAAAAAACGCTGCCTTAGGCAGGAATCGAACCACGATCTATTAGTTACTATATCCTGTGCGCTTACCACTATACCACAAGGACATGTTAATTGATGAGTTTATTTAGTAATTTATACTTGTAGCTATTTGGGAATTATTACTTTGATAAGAAATAATTTTGTTTAAATATTATATAAATATTAAAACGAATAGTTATATATTATAAAAAAGGTATACTCGAAAATGTTAATAGTTAAAAAACTATGCTAGTGCATCATACAAAACCTCATGATGTTTTATCAACCTTTATTCAAACTTTTTTCCATTAATAAAAAAACACGCTTAGTTCACATAATTATTGAAGAGCGCAATTGCACACATATTGTTGGGTTTGGATTAAATTTTCATCAGCGATGTCTTACGACGTTGTTCCGACGTCGTTTTAAGGACGTTGGATTGACGTTGGAAGACGTCAAAAGATATCGGAGTACGTTAATATTATGACGTTGCCCGACGTCTTTTTATCGACGTTGGATCGATGTCAGTACTGCGACGTTTTTTGGACGTCTTTTATAAGATGTCGGAACAACGTCAAAATACATCGAAACGACGTCAGGGG